AGTTTCCGGTTAAGAACTTCTTTGGACCAATATCCCCGGCGATTTCAGGATATGCATAATGCATACAGCTTCTCGCTTCTCGATGGCGCGTAAATGGAAATTGTGAGCCTTGGCTGGCATTTTTCGGTTGGCAATATCAAGCAACGTCTTTAAAACGCCATCCATTCCTGTCACAGTCACAGTTGAGAGTCACAGTCACAGTCACAGTTACACCCGCATTCGAACCGACGAAAGTGGCATAAATCGCGGCGCTCACATTTTGTTTGGCTGCCTGACGTTAAGATTTCCGTTTAAATAATTCAAAAATTTGTCGAAATGACAAATTACGCGACTCTGCATGTGTTTCATTAATTTGACGCTGCCTCAGCCTCACACACACACACAGAAAAAAGAAACTCACATAAAGCCCAGATTCCACATACACACACGTGCCGAAAGCGGAAAAGCGGAAGAGCGGAAAAGCGCTGCGTGGCATTTCATTTTCATAAATTTTGGGACCGCCACAGCGACAAATGACAACGGCAGACTCAATCAATTTGCGCCCTTCGAGGGCAGGGGGCGTGGCAAGTTGGGAGGCGTTAGTAAGGTTAGGCCTGCCTGTGTTTGAATGTGTGTGTCTGCGGCTTACCCATATTGCTTTACGTGCCAAAATTTATGCTTATTAAAAAAAATCAGCAGTGCGCATCGAAAAGTCAACTTGGTTGACATCGCCGGCAAAGGACTCGGAGCAGCTCCCACATCGTTGTCCTGTGGCCACAAAATGGCCGCCTGGATGTCCATTTGCCAACCGGTTTTGTGTGCTAACTCTGTGTATATAGCATGTATGAGGTCGGGCCCCGAACGGAAATGTATTTAATGGCTGGCGATATATATTTTAAAAGCCATTACTGCATATGACAGCGGGAGATACATTGGGATTGCGGATAACGCGACATTTAAATCTCTTTTTCGAAGCTGGCTTAAACCATTAATTGGCCTGCAACAAAAAAAGGATGTGTTAACCCTTTACCAGTTGTGAAGTGATAGTTTGCATTATTTCTTCAAATTCAACATCTGTATTAAATGTTAGAACATTTTTGCCCTGGCTAAGAAATATATTTGTTGCTGCCTTAAGGAACATTTTAATTTTGTACGATAAAGTGAATACAATTAGGTCATGTACAAATATACTATACCAATAAAACATTAAAAATAAGTTATTGAGCTCATTAAGCTGATTAATATTTCTATTAATGCACAATGATAATAAATCGAAAAAATAAAAAATTATTAATACCCAAAACTAAATAAATGTTTTAATTTCAAAAGCGATAAAGTAGTTCATAGGATTTTGCTTTGTTTTACAATTTTTTTCTTATTCAAAACGAATAATTCTTTTAATTCGGTGAAGGTTAATAAAAATCAATGATGTACAAGCCAGACAGTCATTTAAAGAGTTTAAGCAAATTAGCAATTACAGGGTGATTTAATTAACGCTGAGCCCCCGCTGAGATTATTAATTAATATTTCAACAAAGCCGGATTACACTTGCTAAACATCAAGTTCAATTTCAGGCTAAAATGAAGTTTGCCCAGTCAAAATTTGCTCAGTCATGGGTAAACAGATTTGCCCATCAACTGCATTACGCATACGCCATGAGATCCAGCCGCTAGTCACTGCACTCTATGCAAACCAGCCCTGTGCTTGCAGCTCAGCCCTCGTATGTTACTACTAATACAGTCCTTTGGCTGGCAGTGTGTGTGTGTGAGTGTGCGGGTAGTGTGTGTGTGTGTATCCTGACGATTTAGCTGATTTATGTTGATTTGTGTGCGAGAAAGTTGGCAGTGGGAGGCAAAACGATTCCCGGTTGTACACAAAGCGCACATATACAGCGAAACAGTTGCGTGCGCTTAAAGCCTGCACCAACAACAATCCGCACATATACGCGTTCATACAGATATATGTGTGGATATATATGTGCATATATAGGCTATGGCTACAGGAGCAGGGCAAACAACTGAGACCTACAACAACTGTGCCAGCAGTGCGATGCCGAAAAGCTCTCCACTCGAAATGTGAAAACCGAGCCCAACTTTGCCCAGCCGAGAGAATCCTGGCGGCGGTCGTGTCCTGTCGTCTTCACTCGGCCGCCCGGTCGCACCCTGAATTTTCGCGGCTTCGTGATGTAAGTGAAGAGCCACTGTGCCAGTCGGTCTCGGTCTCCGCAAAAAAATCAAACACGCCCGAGCTGAGTCCGTGAGCGAGTTGTGTCGAGTCGAGTCGAGTCGTTAACGCCGAGCGGATACAATTTTGTTAAAAAGCCCAGGCATAGATACATTTTCCACCTCTTTTTGGTAACCGATAAAGTCCCTTAATAATTCTACAATCAAGTGACCTCAATGCGAAATGAAGGCAAAAACGTATTTTTGGATAATATCGCGGAAAAGGCGTAACTGCTGCAGTATTGTGTAGGGAGAGCGCGAGTGTGTGAGTGTGCGTGGAAAATCAAAGCAGGGAAAAGCGAGAGAAAACTGCTGGATATATTTTTAAAGACACCGATTGCGGTTTCTGCAGATAAATTATGAAAATTATAATTAAGTAAAGTAGTGCAAAGGCAAGGAGCAGAGGCAGAAATCAAATCAGTCTGCTAAAAACTAGAAACCACCAACACGCACGTACCACACACACACACACACACACACAGACGACAAATGCGCGAATTTGGCCGAGTTTGGCTCACACATACACCAACACGCAAAGTCAAAGAAAAAAGCAGTAAATAAATACAAAAGGCAACGGCAAAAAGGAGTCTGTTTGTTCCTTCTGCTGCTGCAACGTGTGGTATGTATGTGTGTGTGTGTGTGTATATTGCTGGACTTGAGTATGTGTGGGTGAGCGAATTTCATAGGTGCGTCTGTGTGTGTGTGTGTATTCGCTTGTTTGCTTGTGGTAGGCACTCTGCTTCGTCTTCGTGCGCTTCATCGTCTTGGCAGCTGCTCCTCCCCCCTGCCACTCCCCCTCCGCCCCTGCCACTCCCCCTTTTGCGCCCACTGCACGCCCTTTGCTTTGTTTAATTTTCAAGCAAATTGTTGGGGCGGCCTCGTTGATTAGCCCCAAGGAGGAGGCGGCCTAGCCCGCATATGCTTTTAATTGCCAAAAACGTGCCCAGCCACACATCAACAGGGCGTCAGAGCGGGATGGCGACAGAAGGAGCGACAGAGAGAGAGAGAGGGGGCACGGGACAGGCTGCTGCTACTGCTCCTCCTGGCTCCCGCCCTCCTCCGCTCCTGATGATGACAGCGGCCACGAGGTTAATGGCTTAAAGTCTTAGCCGATTCCAGCCCTGCACATGAATATTTGAATGGCAGTTGACTATGAAATCTGCCACTCGACTCCGTTAAAAGCACAGAACAAAATTTGGGACTCTTTGAATAAAGCATTTGAATTTGAAAAGAGAACTTTGCTTAAAAGCAATTTTAAGATTTAATTATTTATATCTATTGCAAAGCAATAATGGATTTTAAGATTTTAAGTAACAACACAATTTAATGCCACCCTTTTCAATTTTTTCTTTTTTTATTAGGAATTTTTAGCTAGTATACTTTAATTTGAAGGTTAATATAGTATAGTAAGTTAAGAATATAACTTAAAAATAAAAGATTAAATTTAGCAAGTAAATTTCGAACAGCACCTTAATAATACAATATTAAAAAAATGTCATGCTCAATTTTTTTACAGATGATACCTGTTAATAATAACTTTTATAAATTCACTTAAAAAATTGTATTTGAGAATTAATTTAACCTTTGCTAAATAAAATTAGTAATATAAATAATTATAAATTGATAAGCAATATTTAGTAAAGCAAACTTAAAATATATTTTAAAAAGCCAGTTGAATTCGTATTAAAAACTGCTAGCTATTAAAACTATAATTCTTTGTCTGTGAGCCTTCTGCTCAATTTGTTTCGGTTTTATGAATAGGATATCGCAGTTTTGGGAGCACTCAAGGATCCATAATTTCCACTCCTGATGAAAGCTAAAATTTTACATTTATTAAGCAGTTTGGGTTAACGGACTGAAGACCTCTAGTTTTATTGGCGGATACTTAATCAGTTTTTGGTAAAGTATTTGCAAAGAGAAAGTGGTGGGGATTGCCCATGAAAACGTGGCCTGTAAAATCGGATTAAGTAATTAGAAAGTTGCCAGCGCATTAAGTATGCAAGTTCAAGTTAGGGACTGCATATTAAAAAGCCCTGTTGTGGGCCATCAAATATGTAGCAGAGGAAAGAGGGAAAGCGGCCAAAACTCATTAATAACTGTCGTCGTTTCGTATACAATATGAAAGTATTTATGCAAGCCAAACAAAAGCCGTTTTAAAAAAACATCGAGGGGGCACGGCATAAATTTCCCAAGCTGCAAGTGAAATGTAAAATGTCGAATGTGAGCCCCGCACACACGCAACTCTTGCCATTTTAATTAATGTCAAACTCTTATCATTGAATATAAAATATGCACACACACCGGGGAGAGGGAGATGGAGAAGCGAAAGCGGCTCACATATGCATATGGAATTTACATACCAGCTCGCTTTTCTTTGTCAAGTTGAACAGGCTGAAGGAAACAATGCTCGGGCCCTCTACCCCTTTCGTTGCCTTGACAAATCCTTTCTTTTTCTCGGCTTGCCGCAAAAAGCAATCAAAGCAAAGGCACAAGAAAATTCCCAGGAAAACGCATGCTTACCAATTAACGAGATATGTGCGAATGTGCAAGAAAGCGCGAGAAATTTAGCAAGAGGACAAAAACCCCAAAGAGAGAACCCACAAAAAGTGGCATACAAATCAAATGTGCTTAGGAAAAAACACATGCGAAAAAATTTATAAAAACAAAAACCAATACAAAGGCAGGCTAGCACACACACACATAGGCACACAGCTAGATGATAGACAAGGAGCAGGGGGAGGGGGAATAGGACGACTTTGGAGCCAAGTAGCAAGCGTTTATGCTAAACAGAGTGTAACTGCCGGGGTTGCCAAAGCTGAGAGTGCACGGTGACATTTCTGCAAAAAGCCAGAAAGGATAACAACAAGGCAACACCAGAGCACACAAAAGGTGCCAACCGACACACACACACACACACAGGCACATGGGCGCAAAAGGTCCTGAGAGAGCGAGAGAGATCAGCCTTTGCAGAAAGTGTAGCACACTTTCTCGGGCTCAGGCTCGTGCTATTTTTGGCCGACTCTCTCGCTCTCTCTCCCTCTCTGTGTCCCTCTCTTTTTCGTCCTGCAAAGCCTGCTCGGCTCCTAGCTGGCCAACTGACTGCTAGCCAACTGGCTGTCCTGCCAAACGGTTTTCAAACGCTCAGCTGAGAAAATGTAACGGACGAACGCGGCTGGCAAAACTCACAGACGGTACAAGAGAACCTGAAAAAAAGGACTCCACAAGAAACGGCAACTCGACAAAATCTATACAAAAGTGTCTGCCTCAAATTTCTGTATGTGTGTGTATGTTTCTGAGTGAATGTCTGTGTATGCGTGTATAAATTAGTTTGAGTGTGTGAGTGCGAGGATGTTCTTTAGGAATAGCGTGAAATTTTCCAGCAAATCGCGACGCGCCCTGATTCCTGTGTTTCGCATTTAACTACGATAAAAATTGAAAAAATAAAAAACAAAATGAAATTGTGAAAATAACTAGATTTATTGAAAGCAATATGGCCAAATACCAAAATTAAACAGAAAAGTGCAAAAAAAACTATATAAAAAAAACTTTTAAGTGTGAAAATGTTAAAACTAAATATTTATTTGAAAACCCCTCAAAAATATAACTTAAACAAAATTAAACTCAACCATTAATTATTAATCTGGAATAAATTCGTAAAACAGATCAAAATCCAATTTATAACCAAATTAAATAACATCCTACAAAGTATCAATTTAAAGTAATTTATTTTATTTTTCTTCGAAACTTTTCCAGTGTTAAAGTCAAAGAACTAAGATAAGACTTTCAAATCTAGCAAATATGTCCCATAGTTCCCTGAGAAGCGTAGCCATTGCCGAAACCACTTAACAAACAATGCCCAAAGTTAAGGCGAAAGGAAGCTCTTGCAATCGAAACCAATAAAATGAGCACCGTCGCCTGCAACACCAACATCAACATCGGCCACATCGAGCAGGTTGCAGGCACTCAAAGGACAATTACATCTGGTGTAACATCAACCCAAATCGGAACAGCCACAACGATATTGAACGAGCGATGAGATGGAGCGTCCGTTGGGATGACGAACTCAGAAACTCAGTAAGGGAGCTGCAACTGAAACGGAAACTGAAACTGAAACCACAGCGGAACTCGGAGTCTGCGGCGACGAAAATAGAAAATCTGTGAAATCCAACCAAAAAACGGCAGAGGCAGCCATGAACAGTGCGGATATTTTGTAATTATTAATGAGCGCATAGAGCGGGCAGAGTGAGCGGGGTGAAGCAGCGCCGAACAGAGCGATACGTAGCGGGATATCACGATGTACACTCTGCTGGAGCTCGACTAACACACTGACACACACTCACCCCGGCCCAGGACCCCCAATCCCGACAGATTCCCCACAGGACGACAGGACGAAAGGACGACGGCAGGCAGGCAGGCAGGCAGGAAAGGCAACGAAAGGCTCAATTTCAAGGAATTTGCAAAGCGCTCGCACACAAACACACGCACACCATCACATGAGCGGGCATCTCTCTCGTCAGGATAGAAGTAATTAAAAGTAAATAAAGGAGGCAAGAGAAAACCGAAAAAAGTCCCTAAGAGCGTGGTGCTGGAAAGGCAGGAAGTAACCTGATTACGGGCAGAGCAGCAGCAGCAATTAATGCCGCAGGAGGGAGGAAGCAGCAGCAGCAGCAGCAGCAGAAGCAGAGGAAGCGCATCAGGATCTGCCACTGGCCTCAGCTCGACTCGATCTCCCATCAGGACGCGGACTGGGGACTGGAGAAACGGACTGGAACGGAGGAGAAAGGAGTCACAAAAGGGAACCACTCTCTAAGCACACCCACTCAACCATACACATGCACTGAAGTACTGACTGAATGCCTCGCTGCCTAAACAACCAACTAACTCACTGACTGAGAGACTTCAACAAGCGGAGAAGTACGGAGTAAAGCCCTGACTAGAAGCGCAAGTAGCCGAGCGAAACGGGGGAACCAGCTAGCAACTAAACTAAAGGAGCAACCTTGACTAATAACTGCAACAACAAGAACAACAACAAAACAACTACAACTTACTTTATACGCAACTAAAAAAAAAAGAAAAAAAACAAAAGAAAAGAAAAGCAAAAGCAAAAAGAAACCAAAAACAAAAAACAAGCAACCAAAAAACGAAAACTTCAATTTTTAATGCAAAAACTACGAAAAGCCACGACAGCCATTTTAAATAAGCAACTCTCGCACCCTCCCGAAATTTCAACTTCCAACACCCGTAACCAAGCAAAACACACAAAAACACACAGCACCACCATGAGTGATTCAAGAATGGACAAGTTGGCCCGGATGGCGCCCCTGCCCCGCACACCGCTGCTGACCATCTGGCTGGCCATCAACATGGCCCTGATCGCCCAGGAAACGGGCCACAAACGGATCCACACAGTGCAAGCGGCGTAAGTATCACTCAGTCTGTAATTATGCGAAATCATCGCTGGCCGAAGGGGAGTGTACCTACCACATTCAATGGCATTTACTCAATTAGTGACATTTACAACTATCAATTAGGCTAATAACATCATAGAGGGCCGAGCTCGCCTCTAATTCGCATTAAATTATGGCCAAATAATGGTTAGCATGGCCGCAATGGTACCTCCCCTTTCGGAACAACGAAAAACTACATTTTGTGGGTGGGGGGAAGGGGAGGTAGGGCAGTTATAATAACAATAAATTTGTTTTCGGGCCTGACACTTTGCTGCAGTGACCAGCCCCCCAGGCGACAGGTGCGTGCCATACGAGTGTTTTTTGTTTTGTGGCGCCCAACGTGGGGCCCATAATTCATGGTAATTTATGATTATTCAAATCATTTTGCTGCAAAATGCGCTTAAAACTTTTCGGCCCGGGAGCGCTAATTAGGCAGAATGACAGCCTGCTTGACCTGGCAGTGAATAAATGCTGAGCTGCTCGACAGTTTGACTAAGTGCAGGCCATTTATTAGGCCACCCGCCGGAGTCGGAGTGGCCGTATCTACATCGTCATTGTCACATTTGCATGTGGCAGTCATTAAAATGGCAGTCAGCGACTGAAAAATGACAACTGCCACTCGATGGTCTTGTAATTACTCACCCGCCAACGTCCAGCGGGGCGATGTTTATGTTTGTTTTTGGAAACCCTTGTGCAATGATTCGACCACTGGCATACAGCCCTCAACCCACACCTCAACTGACAGTTGTCAGCTGTCAGCGCGGCAGCCGCTGAACCAATACACCCGCTGTTACCCTGGGGAGACCCACGGGGCCCACCGCAACCGCATACAACACATTCGGACAACGCAAAGAAATTGCCACAATTGTGGCATTAGTTGTCAGCTACTGTGGCGTTCTGTCAACTTAATCACACAAATTATGCAGAGCCAGGGCTCTGGTTGGCACTGCCTTCCCTACATTTTTTTTTTTGCCTTTTTGGGTTAGCGCTCATTAGTAAATATTTAGGCGCTACACAGAGCCACAAACATTTGCATAACATGGCAACCTGGCAAATTAGGCAAATCAAATGAGGGCTGCGAGACTCCGAATCCGAATGCGAATGCGATTCCGAGTCGGGATCCAAATCCGAATGGCCTACTCGGGTACAAATGCACGTTTATGGGATTACACGATCGCGTGCTGGGCACGCAGACGAGGACACGGAGATACACGCGACGTGGCATGATGTGGCTTATACTTGTAGTGTAGCGTAACAAGAAGTCCAAATCGAAAATGTCGTGGCGTTAAGAGGGACGGCAGAAGTCAAGCGACTCCAAGGCGCACACAGGCACAGCTGTGCCGTTTATTTGGGCCAAAAAGGCAAAGGCAAAGGCAAAAGGCAACGGCGAAGGCAAAGGCACATTCAACGGAGCAAAGTTTACGCTACTTTTTCATGCAACATTGCACAGGCGCCGCCACAAAGTATGCAACACAAAATGACAGCCTTGCCGAGTCAAAGTCCCAGGGCCTCCCTAGCCCCAATCCCATTCCCAGTCCCAATCCCAGTTCCAATCCCAGCCCAGGCAAAAGGTTAAAGGCCAGAGCGACACAGTTTGCTCACTTTACACGCTGCCACTTCCTGTGCGGCATGGACTTGGGCTTGGGTTTGGGTTTGGGCTTGGCTGCTGGGCCCGCCCCCCCGCTGGGCGTCCCGTTGTGCTCCACTTGCCACACAAGTGCCCACTTCACTGGGAATTTATTGATAGCAGATAATGCCAAAGTGGCAGCGACAAAAGCAAAGACCACCCGGGCTGCCTGGCTGCCTGACTGCCTGACTGCCTGTCGCCCCACTATTTGAGTTTCAGTTCGCCCGAGTCTGTGTGCCAGCTGCATCACTCGGGGGCAGGCAGCAGTGGCAGGCAGCGGCGTCAACAGCTCGCCGTCGAGTGTCATTGAGCGTAAATTGTTGTTCCTTCACATTTTGAGTATGATTGAAAATATCTACAAGCGGCAGGATGGCTGGCAGGACAGCCTCCTGTGTCTGTGTGCGGCGAGCTTGTGTTTTGCCAATCGCCATTCCACTTCTGCCCTCTGCCATCTGCTTTTCAAATATTTAATAAAGCCCCGACAAGGCAGGTCTAATTTTTTTCACATTTGCCCCGGCGAATACAATTCGAGCGGGCAACTATTTTTATTGGCCCGCCTGGAGGCGAGAGATATCCGCGCCTTAGCTATTGCCATCGCCATCGCCTGCCAGCCCGCTGTTCATTTTGCAAAATGTCAAGGACTCGCCAATGCAATTCAATTTTTTATGCATTTACCTCACCTCACCTCGTCCGCTCAGCTGGCGCATAAGTTCGAATTTGGTATGGGGATTGAGTTTAATTTAATCAAAAGGCCAAACGATCTTTCCGAGCAGCCAGCGTGCAAATTCTAAGAATAATAGAAGAGAAAAACTGTTTATAGTATACTTGCATCGAAGCTGAATAAAAAGCTTTGGCTCGAGAATGTCAAATGGGGAATGTCCCAAACGACTGAATTGCTGAGCATCTAAAAATGTAAAGAAAATTTTCATCATTTGGGGAAGACGAAATTGTCCCTGTTCTATTTTCAAACAGCAAACTTGGGTAACGAAATTACTTTCATGAACAACTGCAATCATGGTCACTAATTTAAACTTATAGTAAATAATGCGTGCGGTGAAACTAGTAAAAAACAGAGTTGCCTGGTTTTTAACTAAAAATGAATGATAACAATGGATTTCAAGGATTTAACAGCCTTAAGGTAGTTCAATTTGTATGGAACAGCTGGCAAGCAGCTGACTGCAATTCAACGATTCAGCAATTCAATCGTCTAGGGAATAGCCAAATTTGTAGGTCAAAATATTGGCATCACCTCAAATTATTTATCAATTTAATTCGATACGTGCAAGTAAAAATTTGTTTAGTCAAGTAAAAATATGTTCAGTCAAGTAAGTATAAGAATTTATACTGTCTTTTTGTCGGTTTTGTTTTCACACGATTTTACTTGTTTAATTTTCTGATTTAAAATATTTGATAATTGCTGGGCCACTTTTCTAAGGTTTAGTTTATTTCGCAAAACACCGAAACTTCCTTAAAGCCTTATTACCAACCCACAGAATAACAATTTCATCCAAGTAGTGAAAAATCGCACCATGAGTGTGGGAACTACCAAATTAAAAATTTGAAGTTGACCTAACAAAAAAATTTTCTAAAGTGTTGAAATCCTTAAATGGAAATGTATCATACATTATGGATGTTGAAAGTGCGATCACCACTATTGTCTTTATCCTTATTTAAAAAAGGTTTCAAAATAAATTAAGCTTGCAGTACAAGACCATCGTAAAAACATCTTTAATTTATGTCAAATGTTCATTCAAATATGATGTGAGGAGGGACAGAGAGTCTTTAGAGACTTCCGGGATACCTTTGATCATAACATATAAAATATATGGGCCAATCCCCACCTACGAGCCATTGTGTGGATACTTTGGCTATTCCCAGTGTGTCTGAAATTGGCTTTAACAAGTCCATAAACTGGGGCGTGGCCCAACAGCCCCAGTGCTGTGCTAGCTCATAATAGTTAATGTTTCCATGTCCGAGCAGCTTTCCTGTGTGTCCCGGGAGCTGGCTGCTCTTTTTCAGCTCGCTTCTGGCTGCTGGCTTATTAAGCGGATGTGTTTATTTTTAGCGACTGTCAGGCGGCTGTCAGGCATCAAGTTATCACTTTATTAAAAAACGCTTACTCACACTCGCCCCGAAGGAGAGAGGCTAGAATATGGAGGCTGGGCGACCCACGGACATTTGCCCGAGTTCCTTATTGCGCAGCAGAAAGGCCTAAACCAACTTTTGCTTATCTCGGCGTAGGCGTTTGCCTCAGTCCCTGCAGCTGTCAGGACGAAGTCCTGGGTTGGGAAATGGGGAAACGGGGGAAACGGAAAAACTGGGAAACGGAGACAGTGGAGAAACGGAGATGAAGACAAAGACTGCGAAATCGCTAAAAGAAAGATAATATTTGCTAGTAGTTTTCGCATTTCCGCTTTGTTTTAACGTTTCACTTGAAATTTATGCAATGGCGCGTGTCCAACGCAGCGTATACGTAATGGCTGGCACTCAAAGTGCCACTAAAAACGACAGCGACAGCGAGAACGACAACAAACAATAACGACAATATTTCCCACAGCTTTCCTCTCACACATACACTGCGGCACACACACTGGCTCACTGACCAGCCACACCCACCCACACACACACACACACACACACACACACTCAGATACACATGTATACTTATATAGCAAACGTGCAGTGCCTCAAGATAAGGCAACAAACTGTGGCCAGCGATAAGATGGCGTGGCACTTGAGGCGACACGTTTTGGGCTTGGCTGTCGTGCGCATGACTTTGCATTTTGGTTTTGTTACAGTTACGGTTCTGGTCCTGTTTATGGTACTGTTTCTGTTTCTGGTCCTGTTTCTGTTTCGGTTCCTTTTCCCTCAGCTGCCCCATCTGCTTCCCCGGGTTGTTGCTCCTTTATTGCTGTTTTCGTTTCCAAAGTCACTCTGCCGTCTTGAAAGCTGGCTGGCTGGAAAAACTCAAATTGTTACCCACTTACGTGCAAGCGGCTAATTGCAAGCTGCACAAATGTGCACTTACACAGTGGAAATACATCGACAATTGGGTAATTTTCCTTACATGAATATTTTAAAACTCGGAATGACTTTTCTTACCTCTGTGAGTTTTAGTAATCTTTTCAAAGAAACACATGCGCAAACATTATTGGAAGTACCGCAAAAAACACTAGGATTTTGAAGGTGTCTTAAAATATGCGGTTCCGGAATTTAATTATCGGGTTTTGGGACTCAAAATATATTTTTGCATTTAGCCAGTGGCTCTCTGTAAATACAATCTAAAGTAATATAATATCACAATAAGCCATTAAAATGTGAAAACAAAATTTTAATTAATTTCGAATAAGGAAAGATTTCTATAAGCGGTTAAGCAGATGCACCAATTTATATATTTTGGACGGTTGTCGATGAATTTAATTTAAATATTGTTTAGTTTAGGTAAGATAACAATTTGTTGTATAAAGGAAATGCTTCGCCAAGCTAAATGTTTTGACAAACATGATATGCCCTTTTCGATGTATAGTAATTTATCTTCCTGTGTAGACATGCGGCAGCACTTCTGAAAACTGCCAGCTCGAGACGGGGAAACGGGGTTCTTCTCGTATTTTTGTGCTCTTTAGTTGCCCTCGATCAATAGGCAAATATTTGACGCCTCAAGTACGACCTATTGACATTTTCTAGTGCACTTAACGACAAGCACGCCACACACAAACACACTACCTCACTCGCCAACTGGGGCTGCATAAATTATTTGACAATACGTCGGGCATAATATTAGTTTCACTTAGCCGTGGCAGGAGCACATTTGCATATTACGTATACGCCACGTTCCGCCTTGAGAGCGGCATAAGCGGAGCAATCGGAAAGTTTTTGGCGCGTCCTTCAAGTAATTTTTATTGCAGGCTGTCAAAAACTTATTGACAGCACCTGCCAGCAAAAGTAGCAGCAGTGCATAAATTAAACTTTAATGGCTAGCGCGGCTACAGGCGGAAAGTGTTCGAAGCCAGTAACCGTAACCCGTAACCCGTAACAATGAACATTGCGCATACGCAGCATTGTACTCGCACACACACACACACACTCTCATCCAATCCCAATCAAAAACTCAAATCAAATAGCAATCAAAACTTTTTCATTATCAACATCAGACAAGAGGCCCGAAATATAAAACCGCATAGAACGGGAATGGGAGTGCGAGAGTGAGTGCGGGTATTTTCATACATATTTATAAATAGGCTGCCATTTTTGCCGTCGGCATTCGCTTTGATGCCCACGCTGCGTATACACAATGGCCCGCCATCGACTTGGGTTAAAGCTCAAGCGGACCCAGAGAGGAAAACCGGGGAAAAGGACGAGAGAAATGGGGAGAGCAGCGAGAGAATGTGGGCCACGGCACGCCCCGGCTTGATTACAAAAATTATTACCGACTTTTGTGTGCTGCAAAATTAAAATCGCATCAAATCAGCAAATCAGCCACAACAATTGACTTGCGAATGTGCAAATTGGGCAAAATACTCGCACATAAATAGCTGGCCAAATATATGTATTCCCGATACAAATGAAAGGCAAACAGGATATATGAATGCCAAAAGAGACACTGAGCTCCGGAAAACGCGCAAGCGCACATCGAGGAACAAAGTCGGGTTTCTGTTTATTTGCAGGCACAACTTTTATTAAATTGTGATTTTGCTCACCAGCACGCACACACATCGCACATCGCTCTGGGGACCGCCGGGTTCTGAGAGCTGTGTCCTGAGTCCTGAGACCCGATGGCTGTGTATCCAATGGCTTTCGCAGAGTTGGAATAACAACAAACGCGCTTTAATAGCACAGTTTAGCGTAGAATAGACGCAAATAAACAGGCATTGAAGTGCCTGGCGACTGGCAACTGGCAAACTGGCAAACTGGCGTATGTTTGTGCCTTCAGCGCCAGGCACATGCAATAAATATAACATACAAACGCTCGTGTTGGGGGCGCACTTGATGCCGCATAAAGCGAAAGTGGCACACCCACACACAGTGCCACATGAACACTTAACCTGCAACGACCGCCGAGCGCAATGTCTGTGTCGACTGTCAGTCGCTTTTCCAGGAAACGCTGAATGTCCCATATGGAAATGATGCACAGCAACAAATGCCCTGAATAAACAGGCACTCGCACTCAATACAGTCAAACTTACTTTGGTTATACTTTACACAACTTCGTTTAATAAGAGATACGAACAAACTTAGATGAGTATTTTCGAAGCATTTTCAAGGCATTTTCAAATTAAGATAAATTAAGAAAATCAGATAGTACTTTCTTCATCAGAAAATCAGACCAATAGACAATTTTTTTGTATTAGAACTGAAAATCTTAAACCTGCTTTAAATAAACTATTTAAGTCGTAATTGTTGTTCTTATTAAAATTACACATACAAACTTATATTATAACATAATAAATGACCTAAGAAACATAAATAATTACAATTTATTTTAGTTTGTTATCTAAACTAATATAAAATAAACTATTAAAATCTAATAAAATATTTTTTTTGCAGAACTGGCGGTGGCAGCATGCTGGGTGACGTAAACATATCCGCTATACTCGACTCCTTTAGTGTTAGTTACGACAAAAGAGTAAGACCCAATTATGGTGGTAAGTAGACCAATCTCCGGACACCCCATCCATTTAGCTACACTTACCCAGCTAAAGAGCAAACCCAAAACGCAACGCGACTTGAACGAAACGCAAATGGGGGCACAGCCTGGTAAAATATATATTTTCAATATATAGGGAGGTTGAGGCGCAGCGGGATCCGAGAATTAAAACACTAGACTAACCCTTTATACCCACCCGTACTTAGCTATGTAACACCTACTATAACATACGTGTTTGCAGGACCTCCTGTCGAAGTCGGAGTCACCATGTATGTGCTATCGATCAGCTCGCTCTCAGAAGTGAAAATGGTACAAACTAATTGAACTTTGTACCTTTCTATTATCGTTAAGCGCTCTCTCGCATTCTATCTTTACTTATCTATCTACTCCTAAACTCTATCTCTCTGTCTTTGGTCTTTGTTGTTGGAGTTTTCTTTCGAGTTTTCATTTTGTTTTCGTACCACTAAGCGCATTAGTTTGTTGCTCTCTCACACTCACACACACATACACATCTTGATTTCCTGATTTCCGTGGTACTACCAACTGTTTCAACTGTTTTGCTTTTTATGAACTCTCTCTCCGAACACTCTCTTTTATAGATAGAACGATCTATTATTTCTAACCGTTGACCAAAGTACACCAGTTGAAAGCGTTATTTGCGAGTCTTATCCACACCCGTTCCTATTGTGTTTCCTTCTATTTACAAGTATATGGTATTATTTTCTTATCAGTTCCCCTTTCGGTACTAAATCTCTCCAAGCTCTAACTCTTCCGAATGTTTAGTTCGTTTTATAGCCGCTGTGTTTTAGTGTTTTCTTCCAACAATTTCGCATTCATTTCCTGAGCTGAAATGAAATGAATACTTTAGCCAAGGTTTGTGTTAGGAGCTGACGAGCCATACGAACCCAGAAGTCAGAATGTGTAGGGCCCCAATGTTTTAGTACTTGCCACGATATTTTTCTCACATCGTCAACACATTGTAAACTAAATGTCAACTCTCTAACCCATCAAAAACCAACAATTGGCAAAAGCTTTTTATGTTCCTTAAGCTCTACAAAATGACTTCCTTCTGTGCTCACCGTTACTTTTACCTCTGTGTGTGTTTGTGTATGTCTAATTGGCCAAGCACATCGAAATTACCCGAAAAAAAACCAACCCACACACACAAACAACAGCCACAGTAACATACGAACCATCAACATTTCAACCCTTCCGGATCTCAAGCCCCTCACATTCCAAGCAAAACTCTTGCCTCTCACTTCATGCGTATTGTTTTGTCTTCTTCTTTTTTGTAGGCCCACATAACTCATACCAAGCTTCAAGATAAATTTCATTAACTAACTGCTGCCAAATCGCAATACCCACAAAAAATCTCTTTCTAAATAAGCAATGCAAATGAAAAAAATGGTGTGTGAATCCGCTATAGAAAAGCAAATAATCCACTAGTTTAAATAAATATTTATTTAATAGGCGCCTTTGTTTTTGAAATACCATTTTTTTTTTGAGCAACTGCAATTGTTTCGTATAGCTGAAAATACATACAAGAAATACCACATTATTGTGAACCTCGAGTAGTAAACTGATTTGGTTTTCATTCGGCGCGTGCAATGAACAGAAGCAAAAGCATCAAACACAAATTTAGTAAGCCACCAATGACAGCCAAAAAATACAACAGCAATGCAATGCACATCGCTTGCCAATTTAAGTGTTAACCGTACCTTATATATTTAATTTTGCTAATGGAAATTAAACAGCACCCGACGAGCCCAAGGAAAGGCGCCCGAAAGTAGGCAGCGAAAAGCGAAAAATATATCAACGTACTGCGTCCATTGTTTCTCGTACCGCTGTGTGTGTGTTTCAGTTCTCATATTTTGGGTTTTAGCCACATCTAACATGAATAACAACAATAACTACAGAATAACCATACCAAACGCAAAATGAAAATTCCATCAATCCGTGTGTGTGTATATGTTGCAGGTCCCCCTGTGGAGGTTGGCGTCACAATGTATGTCCTCAGTATCAGTTCGGTTTCGGAAGTTCTCATGGTACATACGTAAAAATATATGCCAAAACTAAATAAAAAAAAAAAAAAATACAATTTACCACAGATACAAAACAAATGTTACTTTTTTTTTGGTAAAAGCAAACAAAAAAAATTCATAAATCTACTCGTATACTTCTTAATTTCTCTCAGTCTCTACCTCTTACCTGTAACTATCTCTCGCTCTCTCTATCTCTCTATAAATATCTCTGTCTCTTTTACTATATGTTTCTCTCTCTCTCTCTATGTCTGTCTCTGTTGCTTAAAGCTCATTTTGTGTCTTAGCATTTGTTATCCTTTTTAATTTCGCTAATTGGCAACAGACATACAAATTCATTACAATTAGTTTGATTCACTTAAGATTGTGTTTGTTTCGACCATTCAAAGCCAACTGCAAACCAATATCTATATACATATACCAATATAAATATACAAAGTTCTGCCAATTAAATGTTGTGTGAAACGAATTGTTCTTGCAATGCAATTGCCAACTATAAAATTCCAATGTTGCATATTCGTTTTGTGTTTATTGTTTCAGTGTTAGCCAATAGGCCATGATGTTCGCAAATTGTTTGTTGTTCCATTTCAAAGCTTCTCGGCCAGAACAATGCAAACCGAAATATACGTACATACATTGAAATTACCCTAAATTCTACACATTTTGGCGCTACTCATTGAGCCCAATCTAAATGCTGCTCTCTCTTTCGCCCACACTCTCGCTATCTCTATCTATTTCTCAACTTTGACGCTTTGAAATGCCATTTCCATTTGTTCAGCTTCAGTTTTTTTGCCTTTTGCGTTCTTTTGTCTCCATCGGAATTTTCATGGAAAGCAGTAACTGCGATAAAGTCAATCAATCTAATTGCTATATAAATCTTTATTTATCGCCCCATCGAGTACATGGCCAAAGTTCATCCATTCCACGCCCACATACACACTGACACTATGATGGGCCCCCTCCCCCTCCAGAGAAACGAGAGATATTTATGCCATACTCACATATCCACCATATACCTATACTCTCATATAACCGTCATTCTGTTTGTTGTGATCTGGTCAAATGCAAAATAAAATTCAAATTAACCACAGCGGCCACTTTGACGAAGGCTGCGCGCATGCGTATTTGTTAACAAGATGAATATGAATGATATCATAATCCACACAGCATATATAGCATATAATCAAGCTCGGTGTCGATGTGTACGTCAAACGATATTTGGACTTAGCCTAATTGTACAAGGGACTACTCATTTATGCCTGTTTCTGTGTTTTCGTTTTCCCTGATTTTACTCTTTTCGCGAAGAAATCCAATTGCCTTTTTTTTCAATTCTCCAAAACTTTTTATCTAAAATAATATTGGATTATTAATTGTTTTCTAAAATAACTATAAAATTACCAATTTTCTGTACGTTGCACGTTTTTATTGGTTAAGTTAAAGGATTCAAAATCATTTGATATACTACAAGTCCCTGGGGTGGATTCACATATACTATTAAATCTTACGTCTAGGAAACTCATTTTTTTCATTTTTAATGTCGGAATTTTCATTACCTTTACTATCATTGAGTGTGACAAAAAGAGAGCACTTACCTCGATTGGCGCACACGAAAACTTACCAGTACTCTAAAGAATTCGTTGAAAAAGTTGCAAAATTGCACTTGAAAGGACCTCACTTAACTCACAAAAACACACAGATATAAATGCACTTTTGCTGCATAAACACACTCTCACTGTTTTACCTTAAGGAAATGTTCGTATGACACAAAAAAAACCAACACATACGCACTGTTTGGCTTTGGCAATCAATTTATGCGAAAATAACATGCCCAACACGAACGTAAACACGAACATACTGCCGTACACAATCCAGCTAAGAAAACACGTTAACAAGGATAACAGCAACAACAGCAACATGTTCACTTTCAGCCCGATCATTTCTTACATGACAATTTTTCATTTCCACATTTTGCGACCCGGTAACAAAACAGAATTGCTACGCTGCTAATGAAAATAATTCAAAAATAAACTGAGCCAATGCCAAACCGAAACAAGAACAACAACACGCGTACACACACATAGTTACAGTTACCCATACTAATGCTAACACACTGAGAAAAAGTTACTAAAATAGGTTTATTCTAGTTTTGGGTAGGAAAAAACTTCATAAATAAAAACAATTTGGATTGCCTTTAAAAAATGACTATTAATAAATGTAGGTCGAACTAATTTTACTTCCGTCATGATAATTTAAAACATGATTGATAAGTGGTTATTCTCAAACTTTAATCCCACCATGTAAAGTAACTTAATTAATTATTGTGAAACAGGAAGAGCATTGTGTTAACCATTTATTTTTATTAAACTAATCCCAATTAACTCTTTTATCTGATTTTAGTCAAAAATGTGTATATTATTTGAAGGTAAAATACGAGAAAAATCTAAAATAAAAAGCTTTTGTTCCTTATTTTTTTGTCAGTATAAGCCGTGACAAATTTACATAAGACAACCCGTCCAATTCAATCGAAATTCAGGCGAGCAGCGAGGCAGTTAAAATCATCATGACATGAGGTTACAACCGAAAAACAGCGAATAAAAATTGTGTAACAAAGAGCAAATAAACACACACCACACACATGTCTATATATATGTAAATTGTAAATGGTACTATAAAGAAATATATAAAGATAAAACAAACAACTCGATAGACCCGCTCACGTTTGGGGTTAATTGCGAACCATCTAAAAATAAGTATTTATATTTAGAGTTGATTTTTTGTGTGTGACAGAAATATAAAAATACAAGAATCCAGGTTGACCCCAAAAACCCTTTTGCAATGCGAAAACCCCACCAACCCAAAACAGAGTTATGGTAATTGCATAATCCACACGAAATTTCATTTGCGTTTTCGATTACGGTTGAGTTTTGATTCGTTTTTAAGTTGAATTTGTGTTTGAGTTTTTGTTTGGGCGTGCCAGAAACCGAGTGGAAACCAAATCTGCTATTAAAATGCCAGGAGAAGATTGCAAGCAACCCACGAGAACCGTGTGCAATTTTCGCATCGTAAATAAAACACAAAGCCATATAGAAAATACGTATACGCCATGTAGACACATACCAGCTAGCACCACTCAGCGTGCGTTAAAGTACTGGCAAAGTACCCAAAAAGCAAGCAGTGTGCGGCCTATAAATATTTATAACTACTTACAAATGTTATTACCTGCTACTACTACAACTACAACTACTATTATTATTACATTTGCATTTGCATTTACCTTTAACATTTACATTTACATGCTTTTCCGTTTAATTTTTGGTTCCTTGTCGTCCACGTGACGCGCTTGAAGATAATGATATGCAAGACTGAGAGAAACAACTCGAGTAGTTGTCCTTATATCCGCCCCCAAAGCTATACCCATACACACACACATACACACACACACCCATAGCCACCAATACAAACACACAGATACAAACAGAGCAAACACAGCCAAGTTGTTTGTCGTTTTACAATCCAATCCAACCCAATCCCCCAATCGACTCCGATTCTAAACAATCCAATCGTAGCCCAAAACGCTTAGCTTCGAGGCACAAGCAGAACAGCTGAAACAAAAGAGCCAAGCCAAAAAGCCAACGAAACTGTATACTGTATAAAGCGTACAAATAACAACCTGCCAGCCTGTTGCCATAGATGCCATAGTAGTCTAGTAATAACCCCTGTTAGTAGCCAGAAAAGCCAAGCTACTTCACAATCACAGCAACGAATCCATACGAATATTTGTGAGAGGTTTCTGTACTACTTATATGCTTACCCGATCCCAAGACCCCTCTATTGCTAATGTAAATAAGCTTAGTACTTTAATTTAATTCAGTTATTTTTTCTGTTCCTCTGAAGATCTCATAGCCACCCTCCGAAAACGCTGTAAAAAGTATCAATTCGGTGTTTTTGCATGTTGTCTGGAGACCCCCCTTTATGTCCCATCTTCCTGTATAAATTGATAAAAGAAATTGTTGCACGTTATGAATTTTCCTTGGTTTCCATTTGCCGCAAGTTCCTTTCTTTGTGTGTTTGTTAAGTGTATCTGTTGTGCCCAAAAAACTTTCCGCCTAGTTTTCACAAATTCTCTCTATCGATTTCTCTATGAATTTTTTTTAGTTGATCGAAATAAATTTTTAAACACACAAAACTTTTAGTTCCTAATTAGTTTAGTTAACTAGATCCGTAAGTTCTCACTGCCGATGTTTACTAATATAAATAACCTCTCAATCTCTTTTTGCTACCTTTTCCCTTTTACCAAAAACCGAATCGAATCGAATCGAATCGAATTGAATCGAATTGTGAATTGAATAGGACTTCACATTGGATTTTTACTTTCGTCAATTTTGGACCGATCCTCGTTTAGCGTATAGAAAACGACCTGGTGTAGAAACACTATCGGTTGGATCAGAGTTCATTAAGAATATTTGGGTACCTGACACCTTTTTTGTAAATGAAAAACAATCATATTTTCACATTGCAACAACCAGTAATGAATTCATACGTGTGCATCATTCTGGATCGATAACAAGAAGTATTAGGTAAAAACCAACTCAACTACTGCAACTCCCACTCTACGCTCTCAATGAAAGCGAACATTACCATTTTTAATTGTCTGTATATGTGTATGTGTATTTAACTATTTTACAACTAACCCTACAACCAAAACAAACCCGACAAATCCAACCTAAAACCAACCACCTACAACCAAAAAAAAAATATACTTCAAACATTTCTACTCTATCGTTAAAATTATCGTTTTTGGCCCTTTTTGCAACTAACTTTTTTTTTTTGTGTGTGTATAAATCGATGTTGTAATTTACTAAATCTAACTGAAAATGGAAAAATTCTACAGAACGAAAAACAGTTTTCTTCCAAGCGATTTAAACTAATCAAGTGAGTTCAATTGGCAAGTGAAAGTGAAAGAAAGTTGGCAATTTCGAGCGATGCATCTTCTAAAGATTTGTGCATTTCATGAAAGTCATCGGTTAGAGGTGCAAACTGTGCGATTGTACTATCGATGCTATCGACAATATTGACTATTAGCTGAAATTCGGTTTAAAATTGTATTTTTAGTTTTATTCTATGATGGTAACAAATATCTGGCCATATTTTTACCCGATTGGCTAATGAAAACATAAATCATTCCATACCATCGATAGGATGGTACTATACTATCCATCACTTCGACATCCCCAATTGTGTGGCTCATGAAAGATACAAAAATGCATTTCCCTCACAACAATCACAAGAATCAATCAAGATCAACAATCAGTAATCGACAACCATCGAAAACCAGGGATCGCATGAATATGGAAGGTACCTTCTATCTCTCGTGTATCTGACACCGCAAAAAGGTTTGACTGGCCGCAGTAGCTCGGCTACTGGGCTCTCTTTTTTCTACTACCTTTAAACAAGAATCTGTCCAAAATCGCCACAAAACCCCAGCAGCCACCCAAAGACTAAGCAACAGCCACAAAATAAGTATGAGTAGCGTTTAGTTTTCGTAGCTGTAAGCAACAATTAAACCAACGACAACTAAGTAAGCCAAATAATGTTAAACCCTGCGTAAGAGCCAATCGCCTCACTATCTACAACTAAACTGCCACTCAAAGTATCTCTCACTTACCAAACAGCAGCAAAAATATATATAACAAATAGCTCATATCCAATTGAACTCGCTCTGTATGTAATGACTTGAGAACCCCCTTAAACCTCGTAAATGTTGTGTGTATATAATAGAATGTCATTTTTTCAACCCTCTGCTCGTTTGTTTGTTGATGTTCACCTGGTTACCCTTGAATTCGTTACTAATCGAATAATCTCTCTTTCCCCAAAAAACCGAACAAATGTGAAATAACCCATTTAGATTGACTATTACCGCATCGTGTCCGATGAATCTACAATATTTCCCCATGGATCGCCAGCTGTGCCACATTGAAATCGAAAGCTGTAAGTACATTGATCTGAATTACCAATAACTGCAATTAAGCCAAGAAATGACAACAAGATATGATAATGAGAAAAATTGTGAAAATTGTCAATGAACCATGTGAAAAGAAGCAATATGTGAACAAAAAACCAACTCATTCAGAATGTCGGCAGGGGAGTGGCCAAAATAAAGTGTTTTTGGCCGTGAAAATTGCGCAATTATCCAGTGTTGTTGAAAGCTTTGCATTTACCTGTTATTTTAGCCAGTAGCCTGCACCGTTTAGCCACCATCTGCACTCAGTTTTGGCCACTCCAAAAAGCCGAGCTCAACTCTCAAGCAAAGGCCGTGCGCTGTTTGTTCGGTGTGGGCAGAAAATCGAAAACAAGCTTATGTGAAAGAAACCAAACCGAAACAATTAAAATGCAAGCAAGTAAATTTTAAGTGCCACAGATACAAAACACACACACACACCCGAAACACATTCGATTGAGGAAAAAGCAATTAATTCGCCTTTGATATGAACAATTGTGAACAGAGCAATTATGCTGCCACAAATAGCAGGAAATCGAATTGAATTTACGTCAATTAAATTGTCTTTAGGTAGAGGCTAGGCGGCAAGGAATTTATTTTCAATCTTAGCTCTCAACAGATTTGATTTATTATTTCGAATAACTGTTTTCAGTTCGTTGTGCCTATTGTGTTCAACCTAAATTGCCCCCACGCCCCACCAACCGACTCATTAAATTACTCAAATAGTTCCAGCCCCCCACCTCAGATATTTTTGGTCATTTATGTTTGTTTTTTGAAGCCACCCAAAATAAAAGTTCAAGTCTCACAAGTAAACCCAGTTCATGTGCATTATTAACTGCATCAACCCGAATGTCTTACCCAACAGCTATCAACCAGTATCAGTAACTATATTATATCACAATCAACAGTTCACAATATCACGGCGCTGAATTCATGCAGAAGATTGGTTGGTTTTCGGTCGCCTTCTCAATTTTCAGCAACCGCAGAAGGCTCCACACCATGAAAAAAATCCGATGATCTGTGAAACCGAAAGAGATACATTATTTCTGCCTCTGTCTTAAACTCGAATTATGCCCTTAAAGCCCTTGCTAGCTTAAGTTTATTATAATACTACATATACTGTAAGTCAAAACCCATACACAGCACGCTTTTGCTTAAGATCTATATAATGTATATACGTTCGATATGCCCATCATTTACGTCTAGAATTTCTTTGTCAAAACTCGCCACAAAATCGGGCCCAAGAAATGCCACATCCACACTCACCCTATTTATAAGAATATTTATATACCGAACGAACATCGAGTGTGTGAGTTACGTATTCTGTGTACAAGTCCCAGAAACCATCCAACACCAAACCCAAAAAACAGAACAAACAAACAATAACATCAATTAATTAACTACTGAACCCCCTTTTTGCAACAACAACAACAACTACTACTACTCAACAACTACAACAATCCAACAACAATGATCTTCAACAACATGAAGTCGGTTACACGATGCGAGATATCCGATATTTCTGGAGAGATGGACTGAGTAGTGTTGGCATGAGCAGTGAGGTCGAACTACCGCAGTTCCGAGTTTTGGGACACAGGCAGAGGGCGACCGAAATAAACCTAACCACAGGTACCCCCATACATTAAAAAATCATAACAAACCTAAAAAAAATATATATATATATATATGTATATATATGCAAAAAAAAAAAAAAATCAATATAATCACATTACCATTTCCTTTGTTTTTGACAAGCATTTTTCAATGAACTTTTATACGTTTTGCGTTTGTCGTAATGGATTTCGTAATCGTATTTTGATTTTGTGTTTCCGAAAAGGTTAGCGCATATCCAAGTACCGAAACACGCACCTCTAACCAACCAAAGTTTTTTGTTCATTTCCGTCTACTTCTTCACCAATACATATATTTAAATATATCTCTTTATCGAGTGCTAACCGTAACTTGTGCTACTAACCAGAAACAATCGAACCAATCTCCCATCTAAACCACATATAAACATATATATATTGTGTTTGAAGTGTCCTCTACTAACCTCTGTTGTGACTACTCGTTGATTTGTTCTTTACTCTATATTCTTATATTCCTTTGCTTATACTTTCATTCGTTTAATTAACCGATCAGTAAAGCAGCAGTTAGTGACGTAGTGAGCGTTAGTTAGGCCCAGCGATTATGATTTCTGGTTCCTCCATTTCCGTTTCCGTTTCAATTTCAGTTCCTTTCGAGTCGCAAGAGAGTCTAGTTTCGTTTGCTTGGGTAGGCAAAAGCAACTAAAACGCTAATAAAAACTAAGAAACTATTTTAATAAAGGCCTGAGAATATTGTAAAAGCCTAAATCTTTAAACAGAAGACACAAGAGCACCCATTTCTGACACCGAAACAATTAGATATTCTTAGTTATAAGTTTACTAGTCCTAAGCAACCGTACTACTGCCAATAAGAACAAACAGTAGCTGTAAGTCAACCAGAGCGTGCCTACTGAAAGCTCCTCAATTTTTATCCTAGTTACGCTTTGCCAATGGAAACCAATAACAATTATAATGCATTTTTAGCGCAATTGTAATATACGAACAACCATTAATAATCTTAGAGTTTCTTCTCGATGGAATAAATCAAAAAATATATTTTTGAACAACACTTAAAGCGACAAGTTCTGAATGAGACTATTAATGCAACAACCGAATCGAAAATGTTAAACCGAAAAAGAAAAGAAAAAAATAATAATACCAAACAAAAGGAAAACACACTACGAAAGAATTGTATTGAATTTTTTATAAAATTTTCTATGATAGAATAGAACTTATTAATAGTCTCACGAAATGTATTTTTTGTTTTATGCATATATTTCGTCTACAACAACGACAACCCCACCACCGAACTGTGCCAACAACAACAACAACAACCACAACTGTAATATAAACTCGGCTAACCAAAATACAAAACTAAACCAAAAACCAACCAAACACCAAACTGTACAAATTGCAACTTGCAAACATAACAACAACTACAACAAATACAACAACAACTACAACAACAACCAACTATATATACCATATATAGTCGGCTACACGATGCGTGACATCCGCTATAAATGGAACGAGGGCCCCAACTCGGTCGGTGTCTCGAGTGAGGTTTCGCTGCCCCAATTTAAGGTCTTGGGTCATCGCCAAAGAGCTATGGAAATCAGTCTTACCACAGGTACCTGTAGACGGTTACCGATTTTCTTTCAAACTTTACTTTTACCTATATATATATTTACGATAATACCGATGATGACTTATCTATATATAACAACTATATATAAATATATCTTTTTGATTTTGCGTTTTCGATTCAATTCTAATCTTTGAGGTTTTTCAGTTCGATAAGTTCTTATTGTTTTCATTTTTCGATTCGAAATAATTTTCAAGCAGCATTTTGTAAAAAGTTTCTCCAAATTCAATCAAACAGGCTTGCCAATTACCTTGGGCTTACTATCGACGGAATTGAACCCGGCTTCAAGCACTCGCTGATTTAATCAATCAGCGAGATAGCACTCGCTGACATAATCAATCAGCGAGATAGCACTCGCTGACATAATCAATCAGCGAGAAAGTACGTGAAGCCGGGTCGCTCTGCGATACAGAAAAAGCATGTTAAGCATCTTAAGAATCTCACCTTATTTATATTCCATTTAGCTAGCGTTTGTTTTATCAACTAATCTACTTCATAGCATACCAATATCAAGCAATTAACGTTAACAATTAAATTACGATAATATTAACAAGTGCATTCAACATTAGCCCACTTCATAGTCTAGAGTCTAGACGGCCTGATATAGACTAAGACAAAGTCTTAGAACTTTTCCCACTTTTACTCGTACTCGTACTCGTACCTACCGGATACTGTTCATATATCTTTAAACGCAAAATCAACGCATGTTACAAGCTAGCAACAATTTTCAGATTTAGTTCGTTCATCAAATGATTTTCCTTTCCGCTTACTTTTACTTTCCAAATCTCAGTTGATTCCGCCTTGATTTCAACGCTCATAAGTTCATACTTTACAGCGAACCATGACAAGAAACGAAACCTAAAAATAAACGAAGCAAACAAACCCAATTTTGATCATTGGCAATGCCAAAAAATACGACAAAAATCAAACCAAATCAAAAGAGAAATCAATATGAGATTGAAAAACAATTCACCTAGCGACCTTTGTATTATAAAACCAAATAAGCAAAGTGAAAATAATCTTATGCAAAAACGAGAACTTAAAGTAATCGATATAGCAAAGCTTAAATATATATGGCTTTTCCTTAGTAAATCATGCTTTTGATTTATGCCTGACATTATTACAACATAATCAACCAATTTTTTAAGCTGCCAAACACCCACACTCATACTCACACTCACACATGGAACACATAATTTTATTAACTAGTCACTGAAATTAGTTTTTACTACCAACAACAACAGCTATCTACAAACGTATTTACCAGTAATTTTAAACGCTATCGGAACTCATTAGCATAATCAAACAACAACTAAAAACAATCGACACCAAACATTCTGTATTGTAAATCAACAACAACTACAACAAAAGCATTAATATTAAAATCCAAAATCAAAAAAAGGTTGCATAAATTAAAATTCCAATCAACTCCCATACGCAAAAAGCATTCAAACGTTTGCAAAATTATTGATCGAAAGACAATGAAAAGTTCAAAACCATTAATACATATTAAATATATATATATTTACATATAACAAGTTAAAAATATTCAAAGAAAAATATATATATATATCAAAATAACAAAACGCCCTCCCAAGCATGCTCTCATCTTATAAAGTTTCTTTTACAAAATCCTTAACAAAATAAATATAACAATAGACAAATAGCCACAAAATGCAGGCAATTCAAATGCTCCTAATTAGGTCTTAGACTAGCTGCCTCTACTCATATTTCTTATCATTTTATTTACCTATTTTATTCAGATTTGCGGTTAGTTTTAGTTACTCTAATGCAAGCCACTTCTATTTCTAAAGTATTTGTGACTAACCATCCAATCAAACATTACTTTAATTTGTATTTACAACGAATAATTGCTTCGGTTTAGTCGAAGCCAAGACATCCTTGCAGAAACTCCAGTAAAATAAAAAAAAATATACAAACTTAAATTTATGAGATAAACATTCTTTTTGATCTTACTAAATGTGTGTTGGTTCTTCTGCAAGGATAAATGTGGAATGCCTAGAATATTTTTTCAAGTTCAGTTCTTGACCTTAGCTTTGACTTGACAATTTGCCATTTCGTTTATAGCCCATAATTAAGTAACTACATATATGTTTATTGAAGTATTGCCTGCCTGATAACGAAATGTCGCATAGATCGAAACTAACAATATTTCCAGGAAGGTGCCAGCCAATCATAATTTCACATAAAAATGCGCTCATGTTTAATTTATTTATTCTATTCTTAGAGTTTTAGTTTTGATTACTTTTGGAGTTCGTATTTTTTTCTTTTGATTTATTTTTGGTGATGAATACGTACTAATAAGAGCTGTCAAGACGTCGAGCTTTTCTAAGATTTTCAAACTTAAAAACATAAAATATCAGCTTAAAAGTCAAAGGGATTAAGAATTTTATGATATTCACATTGATAGTAATGCTTATGATGCTTTCGATGACTTGCCAGCTCTGCTACCAATATTGTTTGTAAATATTTGCAAATGAAATCAATTTTAGCGAACTAAGTACTAATAATATTGTTATATCTCTCTACTCTCTCTCTCTCTCCCTTTTCCGAAAAAAACGCTGAACAAACGAAAAATTAAAATTGAAAATAACTTACTAAAAACAATAATCGCAATTGGCGCGGGCAGGCAACTATTCGCGTTTAGCCTGCGAAATTCAGTTCGTGCGTTCGATGGGCTACTACCTTATACAAATCTACATACCCTCTGGACTGATCGTTATTATATCATGGGTATCATTTTGGCTCAATCGCAATGCAACGCCGGCGCGTGTGGCGCTCGGTGTGACAACCGTGTTGACAATGACCACTTTGATGTCGTCAACAAATGCAGCGCTGCCAAAGATTTCGTACGTCAAGTCGATTGACGTCTATCTGGGAACATGCTTCGTTATGGTCTTTGCCAGTCTACTGGGTAAACAAAAACAACTACCGAAACTACCAAAACCCCCTCAAAACCGATTCCAAAAACCGTATACCCATTAAGCGAAAATCCAACCAGTAGCAAAACGATTTTCCCCATATATCTCTCACACCAAACACACACTCACACTCACAGGCAGTGGATCTGTATGGATTCCAAATTTTTAAGATTTCGTTACCCTTTTCAGTTCGATAATACTGGCCAAGTTGCGTGCCAGCTTTCAGTTTTTCGTTAATTAAACCACACTTTTGCCAGCTTTCCGTGCCACGCTTAGCGTTGTGCAAAACAATCTTGCAGATACATCCAAAAAAAAAAAAAACACACTAGTTTCCTCGGCAAAACGATCTGCGTCTTGAGAAATTACTTACTTAAATATGCCTAATTGGTCCAGCGAAAACGCAGCTGAGTTTTGCCAAATCCACAGTAGTTTAATATCTATTTAAACTTAAACTTAAAATTATTTCACATTTCTTATGGAGCCAAAGGACCAGAAAAAGTCTATCCATAGGGATGCTGAGATGCACTGCACCTGAGGCACTGTAAAGGGGTCCGGCACCTGAGTAAAGCTTGATATATGTTATATTTGATATTCGAATTCGGTAGTAAACCTCCTTAGTAACCCAAAAAGAATTTTCAAAAAATATTCTACATGTATATCAAGCTTTGGTGCTTTCTCCGCCGTTATGCTAACTTTAACTTTCTCTTTAACTATCTAACAACTAAAACAATTCTCAAGCAACAACTTACACCCACAACTACAACAACAACTCCAACAAACAGCAACAACAACAGCAAGAAAAGAAAAAAAATAAGAAAGAAAAGAAAAGAAACTGCAAAGAAACCCAAAAGAAACAAATCTCTTTTTTCGTATTTGTATGTTCTTGTTAATTTTTCAATACAAAGAAAAACTGTCATCCAAAGAAAATGTATGCAAATTCATAGATACGCGCCTGCGAATCGAGCGTAAAGGCACGAACAATTTCCCCCAACGTCCCACCTGTCCCTGTACCTGTACCTGTTTTGCACCTCGCACCTAGAATCGAAGCATGCTTCAGCCAAATATGACAAAAACAAACCAAATACCATCCTCCAAAAGCCTCTCCATATGTACGCTCGTACATATGCCCATCTATATAGCCGCCTCAGGTTGAGTTTGTGTTCGAGCACCCAGACGAGCAAATCGAACACACTTCAACCTGAAATGGTACCCAGATATCAATATACGCCCAGCTTCCGCCAAAATGCAAAACTGCAAGCTGCAAAATCGCAAACCGAAAAAATGTACAAATCAAAAAAAAAAACAACGCACCTAAACAAATCAAATCAAAAAAGAAAAGAAAACAGGGTACGAGTAGAACGATAAAAAAAAATCTTTATAAATAAAAATCATAAGAGGGAGCGCATCAAAAACAATCAAAAAACGAAACCAGCATGCCCTGCGCCACACCTGGCTTGACTCGCGATTGAATTGAATCAAAAACAAGTACGAAAAAAATGAGAACAGACACAAAACACTGTAAATATGGTTCAACAAGTCGTCGATCAACAGCCAGAAGACGCAGCCCCCGAAGACTCTACAAGACAACAGAACAGAGCCCAAAAAAATTAAAGAAGAACAAAAGAAAGTGCGTCTAAAAAATATAAGAGTATCTGAGAGATACGAGTTTCTGCGGTTTGGAGCCCTCAAGTTTGGGTCATTTAAACGGGTGACCCAGACATGAAGGCTGTCAAATTGACAAGCTTAAAAAATATATGTATAAAAAATCGCACAAAATTGTAACCCTTCGGTGGTTAGGTAAGATATGATTTGTAGTCTGCTTTCTGTTTTGTTCTATTGGCTATTTGCAGCGATTGGTTACCTTGTTTGCCCCTGGTAAGTACTCTTGTTACTAGTTACTCGTTACTCGTTTCTGTTCCGACCCTGTTCTATCCACCTTCATCGGCGAGTATGCGATTTTGAAGTTCCCCTTTATGAAAACCCCCCCCTACCCACAAAACACCGTTCAATTGAAATCTGAACCCGTAACATTCCCAAGGATAATGACAACTCGAGAAGCTGAAAACCAGGAACAAACCAGCTGAAATACATACAAAAAAAAAAAACGCTGGGAATTTTCGTGTCCTTTATAACGGGCGACCCTGTTCAATGAATTTGCATTTAAGGCACGCACATGAACATTTTCCTTGAATGATGGTCTCAACTGCAGGAATAAATGTGTACATAAATCGTTTGGCTTACAAATGACTTTTTCCACTCATTTCACAAAAACAACAAAACAACTACAATAACAACAAGAACAGCCTTAAACACGGACACTCACACCCGCATTCAATCTCATATAGACACACACACACAGACACACCCACACACATACACTTCAATTGCTCTGTCTCCTTCTCTGTCTCTCTAGAATATTGCTAACTCACTCACACACAAGACTTGCTTTATTCGAATTTTCCTTTGCCTGGCTAAAATGGAGATACGAAAATAAATTCACCTTAATTTTTGATTTCACTTACCCCAAAAACCCAGAAACACTGCAATATGTGCCCCAAACGACTCTAATCGTTACTTATAGTCTATATATTCCCCCGAACCCCCCTGCTCCTTGTTCCTTCAAGCTCTTAATCCCCCCTTTCCCCATACCCCCTTGTCCACCTCTTATAGACGTTGTGCAAAAATGAACTGAAATTGATGGCAAAATTCTTCATGGAAATTAAATTTCTTTTATTTTTCTATTTGTCTTTCCTTGTATCCGACATTAAATCGAAACCCACCCGCACCAAATTACCAAATATACAATGCTACAATATCCAACTATATATCTGACAACTACTACAACAAAAATATCATCCGAACTTCATGCGGCAACCGACCACGACCACTAAATTCTTGAACTGCATCCGCATATCAACCTATTCTAAACAAAAACCCCAAAAAAAAAAAAAAAATACAACCACCCAACCGTATGCCAAACCGTCCATCAACTATCTATCTATCGACTAAATTCCAAAATTCGAATTGCAATCTGTCCAATCAAAAATCACAAATCAAAAATCAAAACCAAAATCGTTATCGTATCGTATCGCAATCAATAGAATACGCCACGGTCGGCTACATGGCAAAACGAATTCAAATGCGAAAACAAAGATTTATGGCGATCCAAAAGATAGCCGAGCAGAAAAAGCAACAGCTCGATGGAGCGAACCAGCAGCAGGCGAATCCGAATGCCAATGCGAATGTGGGAGGCGTAGGACCCGGAATGGGCGGACCCGGGGGACCCGGTGGACCCGGTGGCGGGGTCAACGTGGGCGTGGGACCGGAGCACGGGCACGGGCATGGCCACCACGCCCACAGCCACGGGCATCCGCACGCGCCCAAGCAAACAGTGAGTAACCGCCCAATCGGCTTTTCCAATATCCAACAAAACGTTGGTACGCGCGGTTGCTCGATAGTGGGACCCTTGTTCCAGGAGGTGAGATTCAAGGTCCACGACCCGAAGGCCCATTCCAAGGGTGGAACCCTGGAGAATACGGTGAATGGCGGACGCGGTGGTCCGCAATCGCATGGACCGGGTCCTGGTCAGGGCGGCGGACCGCCCGGCGGTGGCGGAGGCGGTGGTGGCGGGGGCGGACCGCCCGAGGGCGTCGGCGATCCGGAGGCAGCGGTCCCAGCCCATCTCCTGCATCCGGGAAAAGTAAAAAAGGTAAAGGTAAAGATCGTACATGATGCGGCGATTTTAAAAGGTTTTGTTACTCGTGAAAAAAGCATGCTAATCTATTTCTTTTTCCCAACCACCAACCTTGATCCTTGATCCTTGATCCCTGATCCCCGATCCCAAACAGGACATCAACAAGCTGCTGGGCATCACGCCCTCCGACATCGACAAGTACTCGCGCATCGTGTTCCCCGTGTGCTTCGTGTGCTTCAACCTGATGTACTGGATCATCTACCTGCATGTCAGCGACGTGGTCGCCGATGATCTGGTGCTCCTGGGCGAGGAGTAGGTCGGCGGCCCCAGGCGACGCAAGGATTCGAGGGCGTGGCCCAAGGACACAGGAGTGAACAGCGCACGAGAGAGTCAAACTGTGCAGGGCGCTGAAAAACCACACAAAAAATATATAAAATGGAGAAACCAAAAAAAAAAATACAGAAAACTAGACACAAAAAAATAAGCGGAAACAAAACTAATTTTAACTAGCGATATGAAAATGCAGAGGCAACAGTTTATTGTTTAATACCAAAGCGAAGAGGACACACACATATTACAAGGTCGAAAGCAAAGAATATTGTTAAATAGATTTACACAGTAATAAAGCAAAAAAAAAAAACGGTGGAAAACCAACATTAGAATTAACAACCAAATGAGTATAAATGAATGAAGAATAATCAAAAGCAACAGATTAGCAAATTGTAGTGAAAATTATATAACGAAAGGCATAAGTGAAAGTGTTGAGGAGAATTATGAACCGATAACAAAGAAAACCATAAAAACCACTAATATAACGATCAAAAATCATACGCAACATAGGCATTAAACGAAAACGAAGGATGACTATGAGAAACCCTCGAAATAGCGCAGTCGAAAAGTTGATTTCAACACACCAAATAATAGATGGGTTAACAATTTCCATTATCTTTGCGGCGTTTTGAGTTAAAGTTTAGAAAAACGAAAGACCTTTGCTTCCCACTTCAAAAGCAAAACACCCGGAGAGTCTTCCTCTAATTTAAGTGCGTTTCCCCTTTTTCAGCTGCACGCTCCTAAAAAAACCGAAACCGAAATCGAAACCAAAACCAAGCCGATCCTGATCTTAACCAGAACTTACTATGTTAATCCATTGATTGCCCATTCAGTTGGTAGATTTGTTTATTCAGAACTGACTTAGCGCTTCCAAGTGAAATGGCCAAATTTATTAGAAATCAAAACGTAGTGCAAGGAACAATTTCGACAATTGCGAATCAGTTTGGCGAATGATTTCGTTAAGTTAACTTTAAATGTAAATCGAACACGAGACAGACACGTAAGATCGAGAGGTTTTTAATCATTTGCACACCACACAATAAACTCGACACGGATATTATGAATTACTTTGGAGCGCACCTTTTATAAGCAAGCATCGGAGATAAGTCATACAAATAGTTAGTGCAATTGACATAGCGAAATAATAATATGAACGATAACGATTCATTTTAGTTACACCAATTTTTATATCAACTTTAAAACTAACAACAAATTATTCAAACTGCACTCACTCACTCACGAACACAAGAATCAGAATCAAACTGAAACAAAAACTTTTCGAAGACAACTTTGCGGCACCGTATGAAATCAATCTAAGGTCTAAGTGAAATTTTCAAACGCAAGTATGCCCAATAAATACCAGTAAATTAAAAACGAATACAAATAGAACATAGAACATAAAGTACACAAGTATGAATGAAACTGCCTAAGAAAATAGCGTTTAAGTCTAACAAATAGTTGCTAAAAAGAATTAAACGAAGACAATTGATTTTCAATTTGTAAATACAAACAGAAGACACTCGGAACATTCTCAAAGCAAAGTAGGAGCAAAACTTCGCAATTAAACTTAGTTAATGTAATCGAATCTGGTTAAGCGATTAACTCGGATGCGTTCAAGCAGTCAATAAAGCGATAAACAAACAAAAGATACTTACGATGCACCGTCTTAAGTTAGCCTAATGACACACAGATACACACAGTTACACACAGATACACACCCACACGCGAACAGACAGGCAGACAAAAGGGACACAGATACTCGACGTATATATATATATTTGAATTTTCGCTCAAGTTCCTCGATGAATCACAGACACAAAGAGAAAGAAACAAAAGAGTTAAGTTAATTGAAACACATAATTAAAGGCAAGTGAGTTTAACTTTAAACGTAAAATAAAGAAATTAAAATACAATTTAGCACAATGGAGATAACTAAGCAAGCCATACCAAAATATCATCAATGAATTTTAATTTAGTGTTTATGATTAGTGCAAGGGCAGATCGTAAGGCTAAAGAATTTTGTACAGTTAGCTAAAGTTAAAGCTAGGATTTAGTTAAGCGCCATAATATGGCCAAAACACACACACACACACACGCCCACACGTATATGTACATAGAGTATGGCTTAAGGCGACACAAGTATATGAGATATATATTCATATAACGTATTTAGGCACCTACGTATATGTAGCACGAGTTTTTTATATGTAAACCAAACCAAATTGAACCCTAATCCGAAAACAAAAAAAAAACCAAACAAAACAATTAACTGTATATACGAAAAGTACTTATGAATGGAACACTGGCGGAGGAGGACGTTGGTGGTGACCCAAAATGGATCAGCTATGGAACCCTAGATATACTTAAGACGAAACCCTTAACCTTTCTTAAGGACTACCTAACCAATTCAGCAGAACGACTACAGAAGAGACCCCAAGAAAATTACTTTATTAACGATCTAGACAGACACAAACACACACTTACACAAGCAAAAGTTGAAACCGCTAATAACAGAGAGTCGAGGAGTCGACTATTCGATACCCTTTAGCCATACACTTTATCGTCTGTCTGCCTAATGGAAAACCCTTCAAAGTTCTTACCCATTTTGTACCATCCGTTGGCTAAAGAGTATCCCAAATCTTTACTAGGAATCTGAGCGAAAAGAAAGCAATATAAGGTTTACCAGAAATTAATTGATTAACTGATTAACTTATAATTTATTGAGCCAAGTGAAAAGGATTTGAGGCAAACTGCAATTGATCTACCAGCCACACAGAACATTCCCCAAGAAAATAGCTAAAACCGGAGACTCGGCCACATAAAAGTGAAATCGGTGATAAGGAACATAAATAATATATATATCTGCTTATATATGAAACACACTCACACACACAAATATATAGATATATTTTGTAGCTATACAAGTGTCAGAAATCAATTATGTTACCGAAGACAGAAATCAAAATGTTTACAAATGGCTGAGGATCATTCGTAAAAATGCTATATAATAAATATCCCCTAAATGAGGTCAAATAACTTTTTGATGCGAGAACAACAACAAATAGCTGCTCAACGGTTTCGGAGCGTATTTCCAAAGAACGTAAATTAATGAAAAAACCATTTTAGTTGTAAACAATGCAAAAGGCGAAATAGTTGACAAACATTTTAAGAGAAAAACACTTAATGGCAAATTGATGCGTTTAATTTTTCATATGGAATTTTTTACTCTACAACCTAGTTTACGATATAATTTGTGGAAAAGGAAAACCAAAAAATTTAGTTGCCCATAGTGAGGACTTTTTTATAAAACAAACAAATTAACGATGCAAGACGATGAAAACGCATATGCACGTGCTGCGTATGCAAGAGCATTTAGGACAACAACAAAAACAATGAGGAGGGATTATTTAAAAAACGATGAAAATATGTAAAATGTTAAATTATACACACAATGAAATGTTTGAAGCATTTTTGGTGTCGCTGTTTAGACGGCGACACCAACACCAACGTTTTATAAAGCAACCGAAAGGGAGAAATAAATAAGTAAATCTATATGAGGATCGATATATACGTGACGCGATGTAATAATTACGTATGTATGTATATGATGTATATTTAATTATATATTATATATGTATGGTGGTCTCAAAAAAACAAGCAAAACCAAAAATGAAATTCTAAAGTATTTAGATAAGCAAACCAACAAGTTGAGAACCCTAGCGATTAAGTTGAACCACACAATACACAGAAACAGAGACAGATACAGATACGAAAACTGATACTGATACAGATACAGATACACTGATAAAAACCGGATCCCAGTTCATGCAGAGTGCACCGAAATCGAAAATAAAAACATTTTTAAAATGAATTCAAAGTTAATGCAAGTGAATATTATTATTGAGAAATAGTCTATAACCCTAGGCAGCAAGACGAGATATTGATTGAACCATGAATTGTTAGAATGATAAAACACACTATTCACACCACACACACTTACGGTTGTACGTCGCATACTCTTAGTTTGTTATTACGGAGCATTCATTTTGGAACAAGCCCCCATTATCATTATCCGTTGAACCCTTTGCTCAAGCAAATAAAAAAAGATGCGAAAGTTTGTTATTACATTATAAGATTAGGGACCCCAGCACGCTTCCAACCCTCCCCCCCCAAAAAAAAGAACTCCCCGCGGGCCCTGGCTACTGAAATATATTTGTGTGTATGATTTGTCAGCCATCTACTTACCAGGTTCAAGTCTCATACCATCGCCAAGCAGTTAAAGCCATCAAGAGCTGATCGAGGAGGAGTTTGTCTATATAATTTTTGGTTTTATCCGTCCATCAAAAAGAGTTCCTAAATGCAATAAATGAACATGTTTTATGATTACCAGCCAGTCGGCCTGCAATCCGTTTGCCCCCACATAGCTCACATTGGTCTGCTGTCAATTATTGGTTCCAAAGTCCCCGCCCCCCGCCTCCCAGACGATTATTTCCGCCTCACAGAATTTTTGGTTGCTCAACCCATCAGCCTCAGAGATCCAAATAAAAACACCCACATAAGTATATAAGCAAGCATATGTTTGAGGAGCCTCATAGAAAGGAGGCGAAACCAAGAGGAATAATTTAAAACGTAATGCGTATGTAATGATTGATCACTGATCACAAATTTTGACTGTGTTAATTTCGTTATATAAAATGAAAAACAAAATTAAAAATACCAAAAAAAAAACTGAAATGAGAATAATTATCTATAGCATATAAAAAATAAACACACACATAACAAAATAATTAAAAGGGAAAATATAAGAGATGAATGTTACAAGAAAGTAAATGATAAAACCCAAGATGGAACCTATATTATTAAGTTAAATACTAAAACTAAAAACATCCAAGTGGAAAAAATGCAAACCAAGAAGGAATATTATAATATTGCAATGAAGTGAATATAAATAAAGATATGTAAAAAAATTACAACCAAATGAGTTTTAATCATTTTTCGCCTTTCCCAGGGAAAACTAAATTGATTTTCTTTTGCTTTAAAGTGGAAATTTTATTTGTTAGTTGTTCGAACAGAAGGTTTTTCAAACTATGACAATAAAACTTTGATTAACTCACTGGGCGGGGTCAAAAATTACATACAATTCAGTTTGCGGCTTACATATATTGGTTTTTCCATTGTTATCTATGTTCGGTAATATCGGTTATGTGAATATGAAGTTATCCAATTGGTGAGTTATGAACATTAATATTCGAGTATCGCAAACAAAGTCTCGCATTGAGTAGGCTTTTTACTAATTTCAAATATCTTCTTTCTGGCATCCAACATTAACTTAGACCATTTAACTAGACACGGAAAACATTTAACTAATTAGGCTAGTGTTTTGCATACAATTACAACAATACAATATATCTGCCGGATCCGGTCATACGATTCGAATACATTCATTTGCGGCTTCGATTAATTTACTATAATGTGCAGAGATCCTAAGACTAAGTGGAGCGAACAGAAGCTAAAAACAATACCAACTGAATTGACTTTAAAGTTGATTGGCTTGTGTTGGCGGCAAGATCAAGCAAATGGCTAACTTAATGCTGCTAAACCGGATTCTCTAATTCACTTAGATATATATACATATTATTGCTCGATTAGTTGTGGATGCAGATATTCAAAGACCCGTGTCTGAGTGCTACATAAGTAATTGTCTTTCAAAACGTTACAATATTCCATTTATAATATATCAATGTATTCCATTCGTGTCTGAGGGTATAACACATTACAAACTAACATAATTATGTATATATTTATATAGTAATATATCGTATGGTGGTTTTGTTTATGAAGGCCCAGTTGATGTCTAACTATAACCCCAGAGGCAGTCAGAAGAAGTATTCAAATGGATGTACACAATTTGAGCGCTGTACGTGAAAAGGAGTGGATAGGGATTCCGACCTGATACAAGTACATATATTCTATATCCTGCTATTGTGTCGTTGTATGTGAATCGGGCAGCCAAAATGAACTATTTACGTACTTATGCGACAATATCCAATCAATAGAGCTTACTACAATCTAATTCCGCTACCCGATCGATAAGTTGCTAGTCCGTCTGAGTCAGGCTATATATATATCATCTGTGTGTTTGGATTTGTTGGATAGGTTGTAGGATGGGTGTGAGATCAAAATGCTTTCAAGTGTTGTGGGGTTTGGTTGTGGTTGTGGTTGTGGTTGTGGCTGTGGTGTTCCGCTGATCCGCTCTATAACTGTCCGTGGCTATAGTCTATATAGTATATATCATGCTCATGGTCGTGTGCCTAAAAGAACAAAAGAAACAACATTGAAGTGCCGACCAAGAGGAAGAGACCGGAGCGCCGAATCTAAGCGTTCGACTCCTTCAGATTTTGCAAACGTGCCAATTGATTTGAGTCCAATTCCTCGGGTATGCTAGCTCGCCCACCGACCACCTGTTTGGGTGCCTCAATATCCTCCTCGCCGGCCGCAGATCCTGATCCCGATTCTCCTGCTGCCTCTCCATTAACGTCCAGTTCGCTGGACTGTCCCCCACCGCCCCCACCTCCGCCGGAACCGGATCCTCCGCCTCCCGCGAAGGCGTCGTCAAAGTTGGCATCGAAGTTGGCCTCGAAGTTGGCCTCAAATCCCGATCCGCCGCCGGACTCGCCCTTGGCCTTCTCGTTGAACGGATCCTCCGCATCCTGCAGGGCCGGCACATCGGCCACCGAGGCCGAGTCAGTGCCCTCCGAGTAGGACTGTTGGTCCTCTGCATCACAGGATGGATACTCGGTCAGTGTTATGCTCACCACGGGCCGCACTCCAGGATTACCTTCTTTGGCCGCCGAGGTCTGGGCCGCTACCTTGGCCACCGGCTTGGGCGCAATGTCTGGCTTTTTGGCCACCTCCGCCGGCTGCTCCTTGGACGCCTGCTCCGGCTGATCATCGCTCTCGCCTACTGGTGGGAAAGATTTATCGGCACCGTCTTCAACCATGGGGGTTGCAGCGGTAACAATTATTTGTGCCATACCTAAGTTCAGCGTGTTGGCGCCGCTAGCCGCCGCCCCCTTGTCGCCCTTATTCCCCGATCCTTGGACGGGTCCGCCCGGCTTTGCCAACTGGGGCGGCGGCAGCGACGGCGGCGGCTGCCCATCGTCACTGAGATCGTCCTGTAAAGGACAAATCCAAGGAATTAGTTCAAAGATCGATCATAAAAAGGTAAAAAAAAACTGTAAAAAATTTTAATTGTTTAAATGTTTTTTTTTGTTTTTTAACAATATTTTAACCAATTTTCTTATTTTGTATCTAACAGCAATTAAATAATTCATAGAAAAGTACGAGTATTTTAGAAGCAGTTTTCATATTTTTGAATTTAAAATCCAACTACGATATTCTCAATATCAAAGACAGGAAATTAGAAGTTTGAATGTTTTTTAACATTATTTTAACCAAATTCTTATTTTTTATCTAACAGCAATTAAATAATTCATGAAAAAGTACGAGTATTTTAAAAGCAGTTTTCATATTTTTGAATTTAAAATCCAGCTACGATTTTATCAATATCAAAGACAGGAAATTTAGAAGTGTATAAAAAAGTTTTTAAGGCAAAGTTCTCTGCCTTTAAAAACCAAATTTTTAAAATTTGAATTAGTAACAAAACAAATTGTTTTTCAAGTGTAACCAAAAATTGTTGTGTTTAGAGTAAAATAAAACGGTTATAAAAAATAGTTACAAAATATATTATTTTGTTTCGATGTTTTTTAAAGTTAATTTTTAAAACATCTGTGAATATTTTACCTCCATGCCAGGCTCTTGGATGAGTACTGAGTATGCGTTTAAAATAAATAAGAAAATATTCATTGGCTTAGTGAACAATCATATTTTTGTAATATATATGTCTTATATCCATACAATTTATCGATCAAAATGTTTTAGAGCGGTGAGAGAGAAACTAAAATTGTTGAGGATCAAGTCAAGGCAGCCTTGGAACAAAAACTAACTAGGTACACGATAAGTTTTGGCAAGTGGAAAACAAAATACAAATAAAAGTAAGAATAGCAAAAGTAAAATTTTAAGATACATTTGGGATCTGAGGCTGACAATCATGCGGGAGATGGTTAGAAAACTAGGGGATTTTATAAAAACGTCTTTGGTTTCCAACTTCAGTTTGATAACTACTGAACTACTAATGGAAACTGATCGGGTTGATTATAACCATTCATAGATATATACAAAAAAAAGGGTCATTTCGTAAAAAAAGTATATATTTTTATTACGATTTTTGAAAGTGAGTAATATTTAATAGTTAAGAGAAAAACCTCATACTGAACAAATATATAGTTTTGATATACCAAGAAGAAGGACTCATATAAGTTTAACAATAGTCAAGAGGATTTTTGGACATGCTCTCAAATAGTGGAATTGAAACAGATTTTCCTACTCTAAGTTACTGAATCAAGAAAGTTCGGGGTTAAAATATTTTTATATAGAGGCATATTTGTTAAATTACCCTTCTTGGCAGTGGTTTGGCTTTGGTTCTGGCCTTAAATGACACAAAGACACAATTACACTGAGAGAAAACAACCAATGCAAAACGGCAATGAAAGAAAAACGTGATATTGAGATAAATTAATAACCAATCAAAGCTTTAAATGCAATTAAATTGAAATTTCAGTGCCACACACACATCACATATACATATATCTTTATATGTAGAGATAAAGAGAAGCTGCAAAAAGAAATAAATCGAAGATGTAGAAATAACGATAACACGACACGACACTTTTTGACAAGCAGCCTAAGAATAACACTGTAAGAAATCGGAGGGCATTTCATCGGATGATTTCGTCTCGGCTGCGGAGACTTGCGGAGACTTTTGGAGACGAGAGACAAAATAGCACATTAACGGAGAGTAGTGGAGAGTAGTTACAGTGATAAATGGTGGTAAATTGTTGTAATTTTGTGGTGGTTTAGTGGTGGATTGGTGGTGGTAGTAGTGGAACAAGTGGTTAGTAGTTAGACGAGCTGCACTTTGGAGATTAGGTTTACCTCTAGAGAATATAGAAGCAGGTATAACAGTACTTTCGGAAATTTTTGGATTTGTTTTTTTTTTTTTGATAGTGGAAAGTTGAAAATTATACAAATGTTCGGTACTAGAGGAATCGATATCGAGTGACATATATTGTATAGTATAAAGAGAGATAGAAAGGGGAAAGAAAGGACCAGGTGATATTAGGGGGCGTGGCATTTACCTGGTGGAGGCATACTCGGGGCAGCAGCGCCGTTGGGTATATAGCCGCTATCCTCATCTGTCAAAATCGGAAAAGGTCCTTATTTATCAGAAAAATTATAAATTTTCAGGGTAAAGAAAAAACTCAATATATTTTTAAAATCCCACTCATTTTAAAAATAAACATTTTAAAGACAAAAGCAGAGAAAATCCCATGTTAAAAAATTGTTCTACCATTTTTAAAAATTATCCTACATAATTATTGATACGAATGGCTGAACCATAGACAATGCTATATAAAGTTTGGTTTTAAAGACAAAAACAAACAAAATATTTGTCTAAGTGTTCAACACATATTATTCAAAGAAAAATGTATACTTTTCTTTTTAATAAAAAACATTAAATTGATATTACTCAAAAAATCAAATATCAAAATAATTAAGCTAAAATAAAATAGTTTAAAACAAACTGAAATCAGTTTCAAAAGCACCACAAAATATTTCAGCTCACAATTGGTTGAACTATTTATCATCGAATGTTTTCTAATCTCAAGAAAATTTAACAAATAAAAATTAGTTGAAAAAAAAATAGGAAGCTCACCTGCCGTGTCCTGGGACCCGAACATGTCCTCAGTGAGCTCCAACTCCAGTTCGTGGGCGTACTCTGGCGGCAGTGCCGGAGCAGGGGGCAGGGCAAAGCTGGGCGCCGCGGTGGGCGGAGGCGACTCGTCGCCGCCCTCGCTGAGTGGTTCGCCCAACTCGTCGCACTCCTCGACGACCAGCGAGGGGAAGTTGCCGAACTTGCCGTCCAGCTCGCCCTCCCACCACCCATCGTCCACTCCGTGGGCGGTCTTGGTGATGATCTTGATCTTGTCGCCCTCCTCGAAGGTCAGCTCATCCTCGGCGGTGGCGTCGTAGTCGTACAGCGCAATGCACCACTCCACGTCCGACTTGACCCGCTTCTGGGGCGCCATGATGACCGACACCTGGTCGGGCGATTGCATCGAGTCCACCGTCTGATCTTCATTGTCAACGGTATAATCGACAGATGAGAATGAGATTTGAGAGCGCAATTGATTGCCGGATGTACCATTAAAGGCGCTGCCCGCTGTCTCCTGATCGATGTCCAGATAGTTGTGTGGCACGTAGCCCTCCTCTCCGCGATAGTTTCGGGCCCTCAGCCACCCATCGCCGTCCCCCTCGCCAACCACCTCGAGTTGCTCGTTCTCGACAATGCTGAGCTCGTCAGGATTCTGGGCCTGTGCAGAGACAATATATTAAGAAATGAGTCTACAACTTAAGGTTACCATGTATACGGGGTGCAATAAAAATCTCTTGTTTTTAAATTACCGAATTTCAACCAATTTAGGCAATTTATAATGTTATGCTCTCAGTTCTGTATTCAGAGGTATTTTTAAACTATTTTAACATTTTTAAAAAATTGTATGGCATTTAAGAAATAAATCTCTAGAAATTAGAGCACCCCGGATAACAAATCGCTTACCGTATAACTATAGAGCGCAGTGCACTTGAATATGGCCTCTTTGGGCTCCGGGACAATCGGTTCATCCTTGTCCTCCTCCTCCTCTCCAGCTCCCCAGTTGACCTCAGTGGGATCATCCCAGGCCCCGGCGCTACTGGCCATTGCGGATGAGGAAGCAGCAGCTGCCGAAGATGCTGCAACCGCCGATGGACGCACCTCGGGCTCATCGTCACTGTCGCTAAAGGTGCGATCCCTGGATAGTTGTTGCTCCTGCTTGGGCTTCGTCTGGGCGGCTGCCTGAGCCTGGGTCTCCTCTTTGTCACTGTCGTAGAAGGAATCCGAGCTGGGATTCTCGCCCTGGCCGGAGGCATCGGTGCGCATCGAAATGGAGCTAGCCGAACGCGTCAGCTCCTGAACGCCCATAATCTCGGCCTCCTGCACCCACTCGTCCACGTTGATGCCACCATCTCGCAGGCACTGCAAGCAAGCCTCCGCCTTGGTCTTCTCCGTCTCCGATCGCCGGATTTGATCACGGAACTCCTCGATCTTGGTGTCCAGATCAGGTCCGTTTGGATCGTTGGGATCGCTACGCTGGCCTGAATCCCGCAGCGACTGGCACAGAGCCAACTTCTTGGCGTTCTCCCGGATGGAGGCGTTCTCCTTCACCACCCTTCCAGCCAGATTCTTGGCCTCCTTGGTCAGCGTCTCGGCGGCGGACTCGTGCTCCGCGGTCACCTTGCGCACCGGATCGTTGTCGCACGCCTCGAAGTCGTACTGGATGTGCTGCTTGAGCACCGGATAAAACAGGTAGCAGCACTGCAGGTTGTACTCTCGGGTCAACTGCTGCGCCTGGTCACGGATTTTCCCGAAACTGTTCTGAGTGGCCGAACAGGTCAGCAACTCTGTTCGCCTGAAAAACAAAGATTACGTTTAATGAGTTACTTATTTTGTAAAGGAATTCTAATTTAATTATCTAGTAACTAAGATAAACATTTAATAATGTTTAAACAATATGGATAGAACTTTATAAAAAACCAATATTAATAATTCTTTTTCATAAAAGCACCTTGTAAATACTCAACAATCTTATCAAAAAATAACAAAACACAAAAAATAATTTCCTGTTTCAATAAGGCTTAGTGGAATTAGATGTGATAAAAATTTCAATTTTCCACAAAACTATATCTCATATTTTTCTGATCCATTTAAGCCTTTGTAGAAAATTGTGATAAAAAGGCAAACTATATGAACAATATCCAAAGAAGAACATTATCAGAAAGTAATTAGGGTCATATAAAGATTTTTTATGGGAATTGTTGAATTAGTGATTTATAAATAAATTTTTAACTAGTTAAAGAAATGAAAAAAGAGGAATAATTCTTAAACCTTAACCTGCTATACATATAGATCAAAAAAATTGTTACTAAAGCATGTAGTTATTACTACTTAAGCCCGCAATTTCCCAATGGGCTTACCCCATTAGCATCAGGTACTCGGCGACCCGCTCGAAGACATAGTTCTCCATGGTGGTCATCGTGGTCTGCAGATCGACGGTGAAGTAGCGATTCTGATGGGCATTGGCCGCGGCCAAGCTGAGTACATAGTCATTCCGGGCCCCAGAGGACTTCTCCTCGAGCAACTCCTTGCGAGATGTGACCCGGGCGCTGTTCTTCTGCAGCGAAGTGATTGATTGAAAGAAGGATCCCTTCTTTTTTTTAAGCTTTTCTTCAATATCACGGGCTTTATCCCGAACATCGTGAGCACAGTGCTCCTCATCAAAATAAGATTTCTTGGTTTTGTCCACATCACCCACGCTCAAATGGAGTTCCTTCTGCACATTGACTATTCCGGATAGCGAGCGCTTTGCTATGGCCAGCTTATAGTCCCGAAGGACCTTGGCCTCGTCGGCGATCTGCTGTTGGAACACCTCTATAGCGGCCAATCGAGCCCGAGCCAGCTTTTCGTTCTCCTCAAGCACTGTGCGCCAAACACTCCACATGTTCCTGCAGAAATATACATAAATTATTAGGGTATATATATATTTCACTAAATATATTGTTAGTTTTATCGAGAGACCGTCAGAAATTTATCATATATGGACTTTGGTACTATAAAATGTTTATAATATATTTTAGTCGTGAAAGTGACTTTAAATATTTCAAGATTTCTGAGGGACCACCAAACAAATTTAAGAAGGCAAAACCCACCAGCGCTCCTCCATGCCATCCATCTTAATATCTGGTATATTGGGTATCTTCTTGTTGAGATACTGCGATGAGATCTTGAGCAGGGACTCACTGTACGACTTCTCGACAGCCGATCGTTTGATGGTAAACTGCCGGATGTCCTCCAACAGGTCGCATTCATGCTGGTTCTTTAACTGCAGCTTGGCCACCTGCTCCGTGTGCAAATTCTTGAGGAATTTCACATAGTTACCCTGAGAATTACGGGAGTTACGATTATTGGAATTCTAAACTTTATTACTAGATATTTTTCAAGCTTTACCTTACGCGGCGGCGGCTGCATCTTGGGGCTTTGTCTACAGCAATCGGGTCACTCTACGATTTGTTTTTTTTCTATTCGAGCTCCGATTAAATGTTGTTACATTACCTCTAGCAACTGTAAATAGTAGTATGGTTCTTTGAGAGGGTGGCATGGGTAAATGTTCAAATTTTTACAAAATTTTGACCAATAAATAATCCTGATGATAAGTATTATTTTATCAAAACTTTGAGAAATTGAAATGTATAATTTCCTTATTATTAAAAGAATTCAAAAAATTTTAAGGACTTATTTGAAATAGAAAAAATATTTTTAACGCCATAACGTGGAAGTATATAATGATTTCAAGAAATAGTAGTTTTGCTTTCTCACAAAAAATAGATAAGATAAATTCAATATCATCAAAGATATATATACTTTAATATTCGTATAGACCACATTTTCATATTTTTTTGCCTGTGTAAGTGGGTGGTAGATGTGGGTGGTCGGTGGTTCTTAAGCCGTTAATGGATTTGCTACGCAGCAAAAAGACTCACAACTTATGTAACGAAAATGCAATGTAAACTGGCATAAAAACTTAAATGAACAAAAGAGTTTTCTTCAAGCTAAATTTGATACTATTTTTAGGTGGAAATTTTCACTGGAGCAGCCCACGCAGCAGCCCCCGTTTTCGGGTATCGTATCGATTTATCAGCCCCCAGACAAGCTTAGTTTTCTTCAAACTACGACAATCAAAACACTTGGCTAACACTTTTTTTGGACATGGCCGGGTTGGGTTGTTGTTTTTCAGCTGGATTAGTACTTTTTGGGGAGCTTATCGCTGGGTTTGACACTGAAATTATTAGACTTTTCTCGGCAGCTAAAATCCGTTGCTTACTTATCGATTTCGATTTTCACGACGTTTGTGAGGGGACTTTTTCACATGCACCGTTAACTGCTGCTGCGCTGCTGCTGCGCAGGAAGAGAGTGCCGGAGAGAGCGGCGAGAGAAAGTCGCGGGAGAGCGAGAGAGAGAAAGTAGCCGCGTTTCATTCATAGCCTCAAGTGCCGTTAACAAAACGGTAAAACGTTAACACAAGCACATGCGCCCCCGAGGGTGTTTTTTTTTGGTTTTGCCCCGTCAGCTGCTTGATAACACACCTTGAGTGTATTGGCACTTCAGAGTAATTATAAAAAACTAACGAAAATACTACCTTGGATTTGGGTTCTATATATGTGATACTGACACCTGGCGTACGACGACTGCTTCCAAAAATATGCGTTTGCATGGTAATATACATATGCTGTGGCTATCATAAGCGGTTTAATTGATAACTTCGATATTGGCTGAAACTTTTGATAAGATTTTTTTCTCGCGCCCAAAAGTATGCTTTGCAATAATTATACGTTGTGGTATTTTATAGTATTTTTAAAATTTAATACCTAAGGAGTTGAAGATTTAACCATTTTAAAGCCAAATCTAGCTATTTATACCTGATAAAGGGGGACTTCACAAACCAGACTAATTTCCCTTTAGTATAATACGATTTGTATGTAACCTTGTTAAATGTAAGTCTTAAGATGATTAGTTTTGAGTTTTTTTAGTTTCTTGGTATATATATAATATATATTTATATCACATTATTGGAGAAAACCCTTGAAAGCTTTCAAAAAATATTTAAAACATAATGGTACTTCTGTCAATAGTACAATTTATGTGCATTATTGGAGAAAAACATTGAAACCCTTCACAAAATATTTAAAACATAATGGTACTTTCGTCAATAGTACAATTTATGTGCAAGTTTTTTAATATGTTGTTTTTTAAAAAATTTTTACAAAATAAATTTATTTTTATATTTTAAAAAAAAATAGCTTACATATTTCTTACCCTATGTTATCAGGATCTAGCTATGTGTCCAAAAAATTTGCCAACACTAGGCGTAGCTATCGATAAAACACAATGTGACCAGATAAAAACTATCAAATAGTGCAATTTATAGTATTTTAAATACAATTAGTGTTTGTACTTTGTTGTTTTCATGTTTTCCCCTCTGAAATGGCCACGAAGCTAAATGTAAATATCCGGACCCTGCTGGCCAACTGCGAGGACCTGGCGAAAAGCGAGCAGAACTTCTGGCGGCTTCAGAAGTTCATCAAGTCACTGGACACGATGCTCGCCGAGCTAGAGGCGTTGGACGATCCACAGAGTGCTACCCGTATTCCGGGCTACACGGAGCGCCTTAAAGCCCTAAAACTATCTACGGGCTTTACGGAGTCTGCCAACTCCACAGCAAAAACTACACCACAATCCTCTTCCGTCAGCGAAGCCGGGGAAAATGCACTGAAAGAAATGAGGCAGCTGCAAAACAACAAACATCACAGTGAACTGCGAAAAGAACTGCTACAGGGTAATTTAGGGTTCAAAAGGGCGAAGCTAAAACTCAATTTTTTTTAAATTAAAAAATATTTTAAACAAAATTACTTTGTATTTATAGCCTACAGGCCAAATATTTGAGTTAGTCTAATAACAAGCTTTAAAGTTGTAATCCCGTAGTCAAAGCGGTTGATTTCTGGAAGAAGTTTCCTTTACAGATCCTAATTTTCACCATCAACCTTTTTATTGTGATGATCAATCAAAAATCACCTCAAAATATATGCCAACTTTAAAAATGCGTAGAGAAATGAACCATTTTTCAAAACAGATCTTCATTTTTTGAGAGATCTTTTGTATTAATTTTAAACTGAAATCGAGAAGGACATTTTGTGAACCCAATTGTGCGGTTTCTTACCTATAAATTATTTTAATTGTATTGCAAGTCTGATTCCTTCTTTTTAGATGCTGATTCCCTGCGAAGACGTCGAGGAGTGGAGGAGGCCTCTTCTAGTCCCAATGGTACTAGCGTACAGACAACTTCCGGCGAAAATATGAACGAGGCTGCCAAGTATTACACAAATGCCCAGGAGAAGATCACTGAGCACATGCTTTCGCTGACACGGAATCTGAAGGAACAGACGGAGACTGCTAACCGGATTATCCGAAAGGATACGGAGGTTGTCTCACGCTCCGCAGGAATGGCGGATCGCAATATCAATTCGCTTGGAAAAGAGGCTGAGAAACTGGAGCAGCATTCGAAAAAAGCCTACAAGTGCTGGCTTTGGCTGATGATTGTCTTTGTAATTGTCACTTTCATTGGTGAGTCATACTGTTAAGCGGAAAATTGTCGAAGTTCCCAAAAGCTTAGTTGGGATTCCCATGCCAATATGTTTCAGCTCTGTGATTCAAAATCATCTATTTGGACAATACTAAAACAAAACCAATACAAATCACGGTTTCATAAACTTGTTAAATCAAAGGTTTAGTTTAAGTTAATTTTTTTTAAATTTTGAACCAGTCGGCCTAATTGTATAATTTATAATTTGTATAAACTGAGAAAATACATTATTAAAAGAATTATAGTTATTTATTAAAGTATTGAACTAAAACTCACTTTCAAACAAAATTAAGACGGAAATTAAACAGGTCAAAAAATTTCATAAATCAGGTTATTTTACCGAATTCAAGTAAACAAGTTTTAATTGGATCGATTAATTGCCGATCGATTGTTGCTTAATCATACTAATGAGTTTATTCCCCTTTCAATTTACAGGTATGGTGTTGTTCATGAAGATCATGAAGAAGAAGAAGGCGTAGGAACTGCCTCCAAACAAATCAAACTAAAGATTGTTCTCTAAGCAAACGCTTAACGCTCGTTCCGCTCCCGAAGGTTCAGAAGGTTATCCCCAGAGCCCCCAAATCGTGTAAACAGACCCACATTAAACGATCGAAAGCCGCCCAGCGATTTATTTATGAATAGTTTATGTACAAGCGAAAGCGTTTAGATTATGGATTTTGAGTAATTTTGTTCTTTCCGTAAGTGTGTTTAGATCCGTAACTTTATCTTTAAACCTATTCGGCAGCTATGAGTTCTGTTACGCCATTCTTGGTTATCAGCTGCAGCAGGGATCCAGTTTTGGGCCTCTCCTGAGCTTGAGTCCACTTGAGAAAAAGTCCGGCTACCTCGTCAAGAGAAGTCCAGGTGCCAAAGTCCGCATCCGGCATCCATTTACGGTTCATGGGTGTATCCAGGGTTACGGGCAGGATGGATACAGCCAGAGATCCAGCTGGAAGACCGGATTTCTCTGCGCCCAGCGATCGGGTGAGCTGGTGGACTGCTGCCTTGGCCATTCCATAGCCGATCATGCCGGGAGTTCCCTCCAGAGCGGGCTTAGCTCCTGTGAGAGCCAGGAGTCCTCCCTCCTTCAGGTGCTGAGCGGCCACAGCTGCGGAGATGGCTGAGGTCCAGACGCTTTGCTTCCACATGAGATCGGAATTCTTGGCCAGGTCCTTTTTGGCATTACCACCTGCCCAGCCGCCAGCCACGCAGATCACGGCATCTAGTTTCTCGCCGGCCAGGCTCTCGCCCACCTTGGAGACCACCGTACCCTCCTGTTCCGACCATGGAGCATCGCGTGGCACCACGATGCTCACATTGGCTTTCTCATTCTCCGTCAAATCGATGCTGCCCACCCACTTGAAGGGATTATCCAGGTGAAGGTTGAACCGGGGGAAAACAATTGCTAATGAGCATTTTGATAATTACATTTAAGTGAAAGGTAACTCACATAATTGTTGGCTTTAAAGTAATCGACACAGGCCGAACCCAAGGCCCCTTTGCCGCCATAAATAACTACTCGACCTGCGGACATGATTCGTGCTGCCAGTTTTGAAGCTTGAATTCAACTGATTTCGAAGAAACACGAGAATTTGCGACTTTGGTGAGTCAAAAGCGGGCGAAAGCTTTGAACGCAGCTGGGGTTTTTAACCGCGCGAGACCAGTTCTACCGGTAATACTCGGGAGAATAAATTTAAAGTCAAGTTTAAGCTTGAGCTGAGAGTTATAGCTTTTTTCGCTCCGGGAAAACAGGAGTAGCAGCAACAAGTGGAAAATCAATAAGATGGCCAAAAAAGACACGAAAGGTCACACTAACAGCAAGACGCGTTATTTTGGTATTTCTTTTAGTATCCAACAGCTGTTCGACACAATCACCCGTCTCACTCTCGCGCTGCTCGTTGCTCTTTTTTGAAAAGGGAAATGCGTGAAATTCGTGCGCCGCATTTCCACCAGACCAGACCAGAGTTACGCGCCGTAGCCGAGTTTTTCACTCAGTCCCACCAGTCGCCGTCGCGTTACGTCACGAGAGCAGTTGTAGAATTTAACGCCAAACGGTTAATATTGGAGGGAGTTTTCTTGGCTTGATTTTGTGGAAAACTTCGAGCCGAACCCCCCACCCGCGCTGAGTTTTCCTTGGCACCCAAAAAAACGGAAAAACACATGTGCTTGTATTTTATTTTTCGGCTGCCCAAGTAGACGGCGCGTAGTTTTTCACTTTGACGGGAGTTTTCCTTTCGCTCATCGACTCACACTCATTTCTAATTGTGATTCGTAGGAAGTAAGTTCTCTAGTGCAAAATATATTCAAATAAAATAGTATAATTCCATCTTTATAAATCGGAACACAACAATAAATACAATAAAACACCACCAATATATCTAAAAGAGAAAAATTTTAAAAAATATATATAAAACATTAAAAGAATATCAACATAAACAAACCAGCCGCACTCGTGTCGTCCCATCGTCTTTTGTCTTCTTATTCAACGTTCGTTAAAATCACGCATCGAGATTGAGTTTTATATCTATGATATGCAAGATATATAGATGATACGTAATAGCTTTTGGAAACGGCAACTGCAACTGTAAACTGTGTCCCCACGTAAGACGAAACGTAACGCAGCCTGAGAACAACAACGTATCGGAACGGAACGGAACCAATCGGAAGAAATCTCTCCGGAGGACCCAACAAATAACGGTGAGTTTTCCCGATGGAATAGAGGTGGGGGGTCCAATTGGGGAATGTCACTCGCAGGGAAAATGAAAAATGCCAGGCGAAAATTCTTGGCCATGTAACTCGTTTTGCCGCTCTCCCTCTTTCGCGCGTTTATGTGTGTGTGTTTATGCAGCGGAAAACGTGTATTCTTGAGAAAAACCAGAAAATCGAAACCCGGAATTGGGTCAGTATGTCATCCGCCGTCCCGCTCCCACCGATTCCAATTCCGATTCCGATTCGAGCTGCTAGTCTGGCTAAAAACTCTGGCTAAAACGTGTTTCGTGCTTAGTCAATTTGTTCTTTTTATCTAGTCGCTGACGCAGTCGACGTCGCTGCTCTGCCACTTGACTTAAGCGGCCTAAACTAAACAGCATCGCCTCCAGAATGCCTAAAAAACAAAGCACTACCACTGCACGTGTGCGAGCGAGAGCGCGGCGGAAGGTGGGAGAGAGACAGAGTGGCTGATTGTCACCCGCGCGGCCAACTTAGAAATACCCTGTACTAAATTAAATACGATATAGTGAAGTACTAAAAATCGTTTTATTTTCATTATTAAAATTTAGTGTCTTCAATTATGAAGCTTATTAATTTACCTAAGCTACAAATATATACCCAGATTCATATTTTTTAAGTGAGTTTCAAAGGTAAACGTATCTGATAATTAAAAAAAGAATTGTGTTAGAAGTATTATGCTTATACACAAAAAAAAGGAAGAATTGAAAAGCAAATGAGCCAATATATAAAAATTAAAACATTAAATCAAAAAAAATGACCCCATACAGTCAGCCAAATTGTGGATGGTCGTGGTCTGGTCAAAAAAAAGACACCCATATCACAATTGAGGATAAGTTTAAATGACACGGATGTATTTTAATGATTTCCATTTAAAATCGGGTTACAAAAATTTTAATGGCAAAAAGCATGACCCAAAAATGCCAATCTTCAACGAGAGAAACACACGACAAGCCGACGCAGGTGTTTTGTTAGAATCCTAAAAAAGATCCACCGAAAAGGAAAAAAATCAAACACGGACACCCATGTCAGCAAAATCCCTAGTTTAAGTCCATCGGAAATCAAAAAACAGAACGGTTCGTCGCAACTTAAAAGCCGGACAACAGACAAAACCAGAAAAGTCCTTACTGAAAAAATACAGAGAGGCGCCAGTCACAAAATCATTCATGGTCGGACAAAAGGTTTAAAAAGACAATGAGGAGCACGAACAAAAAAACCTGACGACCCAGACGTTAACGACGCCCAAAAGTAAAAATCGTCCCCGGTACACAAGAACGTACGGCGGACAAAGTTGGGCGATTTCTGGCATGGCGTGGTCCGATACACCAACGATATTAGACGATTTTAAAAAGTAACTGACGTTATACACCATATCAAAAAAAGCCTTTGAAGGGTCTTCAACAAGACAACACCAAAACACACCCAAAGCGGCAAGGCTGGTTACCAAAACAAGAAATCAAGGCAAGCCAGTCCGACAAATGATGAAACCAGGGACACAAAACGACGGCACAAAACTAAATGCCAAAATGGACATTCCAAAAACCGGAGACATCCAGTGGAACTGTCGCAACTTAACGCCAAAGACAAAAAAGCTATACTATACAGCTATAGATTAAGGAAATCAAAAATGTAAAAATGTTAAGTTGAGTTTGAGTTTGTAAATTGGTTACTATTATTTGACCAACCCTTTTTATGTTTTAGATATAATTAACCACAAACTTTATAAAAATAAAAATCCATGTTAACTATTTTATAATCTAATATATATCAAAAACTAAAATAATTTTTCTTTATGATCATAAAGCAGCTGAATAAAGAAACCTACACGGGTGTACTTATTATTTGGCCAGTAGTGTATGTTCATAAATCTGAAAATTGAAATTTGAATTTGGTATCAGTATATTGGCTCTAACTTAAGAAAGGCGTTTGCATTACTAACTTAAAAAAAAGTATTACTGTTTTTTATAGCAACGTTTGCCAAGTATCTCCGATTCGATAGCTTATCTTTTCAAAGGTAAATGGCTCGCTCTCTTGGTAGTTGCCTCTCTAGTTTTTTCGGCCACTCGCTTCACTTGATCTTGCACTCGGATAGCGACAGAGGTGCAGCGACTGCGCTGCTGGCGTCGACTGCGACTGCGGCGCTTTTACCTTGAGCACGCCTGCACTTGTCGCAGCCCCTCCCCCTGCCACCTACCGCCCACCTCCCGGTACCCCACTCGCCGTTCGAGTTTGAACTTCTGAAAAAGCCAACACCTTTCGAAATTGTATCCACTTTTATTTCTGTTTCTTTTGCCTCTGGGCAGCGGCGTTTTTTATATTTCTGATGTTTGCTAATAAAATTATTACGACTTGGCCGACAGCGGCTGCTAATGCGTTTTAAGGTCGCCGCTCTTGTTGATTTTGACCCAATAAAAAATATGATGATGCTCCCGCTTACATTTGCCGGTCCATTTAACATGTGTCCATTGCGCCAGGATGCGATTTGATTTATTTCAAAGTTATTTATTATACAACCAGGCGCAAAACAAAAGAAATATCAGAAAAAGGGGGCGAATTAGAAGAAAATTGCAGACAGCTGGTGCTCTTTTTCCGGTGTGCGAAAAAGGGATACGATTGTGAAAAATGCACAGGGAAAAACACTAGCTTCGGATTGTGTACTATGTAACAGAACAGAGAAATTCTGTCCTAAACATTCAAACTAATCTTTATATATTAGTTGATACAATCTTATCCAAGCTTTATATGTATTTAAGTAAATTTTTATCATAAGATATCTGATTTTAGAAATCTCTTCAATCGAATAACATTTCTTAAAAACCGATAATTGTTGGCTGAATTTACTCGGTAAGCATTGTATAACAATAAAATGCATTTATTTAATTCGAAATTTAAAAATTTGAAAAAAAAGAAAATGTAAGACATTTTCAATAAGTAAGATATGCAATTTATGCCCTTAGGTTATTTATTCTATTCTATTCTATCCAAAAGCTACTCCCCAGATAATCTATCGTTACATCATAACCATCGCGAATTCATGACTAATGACTGATATTTTTCTCTCTGTGGGGAATATGAATATGGGGGATAGGGATAACAACACGGAAGAGGCTCCATTATAGGTTGCTGGTTTACTAGTTAACTGGGCCCAAACGCTGGGAGAGAAAGGGAAAGGCGGTGAAAGAGAAAAAGAGAGGGATAGGGAATGACAGGGGATGTGGGTGGTGACACTGACAGTGGAGCACCTTCGTCATCGTCAAGCATTCGGCCTGTATAAGAGCAATAAATAATGCACACGAAGAGCAGTGATGAGAGCCAGAGACTTAGCGAGATATCGGGGGAGAGATTCGAGAGCGAAATCGGTGAGAGTGGCAGAAAGCAGCGCTGTCGCTTTGGGGGGTTGGTTGTGTTTGATTTTTGCACTTAAGAGCGAAAAAAGTGGCTTTGATTTTCCGCCTGCCCTTCTCTCGGAGTTTGGGGCATGCTAACTTTGACGGCCGACTTGACCAACCCCCAAAAGGGAATTCCAACTTGCCTCATTAAATTGATAACGTTAAGTATACGTAATTTAATTTGATTTTCGTCGGACACAAACAACGGAATGCGATATTAGAGATACGCAAGTTTTATGGTAACAGAAGGCATTCAGATTATGAGAAATTTATATTAGGAGTCAATACTATTTATTAGACCAATACAATTTTGGATTGTAAGCCCTATGACCCTATGACCCTCACAATATGTCAGATTTGTATTATAAAATTTAATTGGAGTAGATGTTTGTTCCTTTTTTACTTACTAGCGAAAAAATTACAAAATGTATTAAAAGTATTTTCTTTTTTACTGATGTGCATATTTTTTCGCAGAGAGTATTCACCATTTCTTTGGCAACATTGTTGTTGGCATTTGGTGAGTGTGGGTGGAAAAGTGGGTGTTGCGTGGGCAGTCGCCTCACATTTGCATGCCCCCAACACGGCACACATTTTCTCAGTTCTCTACGCTTCTCACGCGTCTCTCTCTTTCTCTATTGTCTCTCTCTGGATGGCAAGTATATAGCCCGAGTTCCAATTGGGATAGGGATGCGAAGGCTAGTGCTAACCTATATAATTTTTTTGTTCCGTTTCTAACAACAAGCACATCTTCCTCCAACCAAAAAAGGAAGGAAATCAAAACCTCTGGCAGTTGAAGGTTCTTTTTTCTTTACAATTTTAAAGCAAATGCTGATTTTTATATTTTTTCCCCCGCTGCACGTTGACGGGGGCAGCGCAGCAGCTTTTGGCTTTGCTTCTGGCTTTGAATTTAATGTTAAGTATACGCATCAGTGAACTCAATTTAATTATCATGATTGTTTTGCCCGCTGTCTTTGCTTTCGCTTTGCTTCGCCGTTGATGAAATTCAAATTTTCCAACTTCACAAACAGACGCTCTCGCATTCACAGAGCAATTTTCCAACGTGTTTTCCGCTTTTTCAGCTTATGTAAGTGAAACGCTGAGTGCTGATAAAAAATAAAAAATGAAAAAAAGCTAGCTAGCTGGCTGGCCATAATTACGAGCTTTAGATTCGCCCTTCGCCCATTTTTTATCAGTGGCGTTATTTATGCGTCCTCCCACAATGACAAAGTTTCGTGGAGTGGGGAGCGTTTTTGATAGACAACAATTGAGCATTTGAAGTGCAGCGTAGCGCAAAGAGAACTCAAAAGTGGAAAATACAGAAAAACTGACTGCCGTGCTCGTAGCCAAAAACCCAAACGAAAAGCAATTAAGTTGCCTCGGATCATTGCACAATAAGTAAAGAATCAAACTCGAAACATAACTGTGTTTGCCCGTCCAGCCAAAACCGTTGACGTCTCTGCTCGCGTCGCTGCCAGCGCTGCACACTGCTTTCGGCTCATATGAATAACAATAGGGCTAGTTTACCATCCAGAACCCGCCGAATACGGTTAATTAGTCTGGAGACCGAAAAAAACGAGGTGT